ATTGTGCGCTGAAGACAAGATTTGTGAGCCTTCAAGATCATGTCACATGCAATAGACTCACAGTGGCCAAGCAATGTTTGCTGAGGGTTCATTTGGGCATACTTGGTACTAAACAGATGTCAGACACACAAAACAATTGCTTGCAAGAGCGGCTGGACTTACTCAGGGACAATGTTGTCTACATCAATGGTGTCTGCCACCTTCCACTCATCAACAACCTTGCCATATTCCAAATCCATGCGATACACAGCATTCTTGTTATTGGGGTCAAGAAGGAGCATGTTGGCATCTTGATTGTGGAGCATCATCTGCAAGAATTGATGTCAGTTCAGATACAATGACATGAAAGATTTTACACACCTTATGAGGAGAGAAAGCTTTACCACCAGTAGTCCGCAATCGGTCTATAGCAGTCCTAAATCTCAATCGATCACCATCATGGGAGAATACACCGATCATATCGCCTCTAGTGACAAAGGACATATCATCCTTGTAGCCAACAGTGAGATGCTGATTCTTAGATCCCTTGGCGTACAGCCCCTCTCCCTCTGACTGTGACACATCTTCTTCATCCTCTGTTGTGTCCCCCTCCTCTTCCTCCTCTTCATCCTCATCTTCATATACTCCGTCTTCTGCCTCTGCCATCTCAACGTCCTCATATGCTTCTTGAATGTACCTCTGTTCGACAGGCTTTGCTTTTGCATACTTGGTTTTGTTCTTGCCTTCCCACATGTAGATGGTGAATTTGTCTTTCCACTCATCAAAGACGTCTTCTTTGAAGCGAAGACACCAGGTCATGGGGGGAAGGCCGTTTGACTCCCCAAACGTGAACATGAATGCACGGTTGTTCTGGAATCCAAAACATCAGCATGAAGTTGTGTTATAGATTACAATACTCACCATGTCAAAACGAGCATTCAATTCGGCATCAATTGGAGCGGATATGTATGGTGTAGTGCCGTGTTTGACAATAAGCCATGCTGTAAGGAACATATGAGCCTCCCATCTGAGGTTAGAGATTGAAAGAGGAAATACCCACTATCGTATTCGTTGTTCTCGGCCATATCCGCGCTCACGTGGGCCTCTTGGATGACAAAAACATCCGCCTCGGTATCGAACAAGTACAGTTCAGCTTGGGCACTATGAAGGATAGGAACACCTTGAAAAGGGTCATCCTGCACTGCTAAAGCTGACAGCTGATCTTCAATGCCGGCAGTTTCGGCGTCTCCTGAGGGCTCGACTGCATCGGCACCCGCTGAGATCCGTTTGATTGATGGCCGTTCCGAATACTTGAGAGCTTGAAGCTGTTGGTCTGTAGCCTCTTCGTGTGATCTGGAATATTTCTGGATTGACATGTCAGCTGAAGCCACCAGGCAAAGCTTCCAAACCATACGCACCCTTTCAAACATGCAATGAAGAAGGGTCAACTCGAAGAGCGAATTTGTGGCCTTCGGCACCGACTATGGTGTTGATGTTAGAATACGCTCTGATATAGCTGGTATTAACATACCTTGCTGCTCACGAATTCCCAAAGATCACCGTCTTCACCACTAAGGTCGTTCCAAGAACAGCTCGGATCGCCGTCTAATGCTCCAAATCGAAATTGGAGTGCTTCGTCGACTAGGAATACACGCTCGTCATCGGCTGAAGAAATAGGTTTGTTAATTGTGCAATTGATTTGAGGCATGTGCACGTACTCTCCGCATCGTCATCGAGCAGCTGTTCCTCCCCCTCTTCGTACGCGCGAGTGACCACCAATTGATACTGAAAATCTACGCCGGTCCGTCTGATTGTGGCAACAGCATCTTGGAAGCTTGGACAACGAGAATCAGGATTTAACTATTGAGAGACCGCACATCATAGACGTACATGCACTCCCTTGATCCCTTGATGCTATCGGGGCGAACAAGGTAGAGTTGACCGGCGGGGATTTGTATGAGCTCTGGATTGGCGGGATTACCCCACATCTTGCCGAGTACTATACGTACGTGAGCTTCTATATGCTCAGGAAAGAGCAAGGGCTTACGCGACTTGAGGACAAACATGGCTGCGAGCGGTGGAAAGTGACGGTTGTCTGCCGTGTGAACAGGACTCTCCTGCATGTTTATCTTTGTGCGCGGTGGCGACTGGCGGCGGGGTTCGCCGGTGGACCTATGTTACATAATCACCAGGCCGCGCGTTGAAGAGGCGCCGTCATCTGTGCTACTCCATTTCCACTCTCCTCTCGTCCACCCCAGCATTATCACTCAACATGGTGGGCTCAGCTCTTTTCCGAACAGGCCCTCGCTGACACGGCCCAGGGTCAAGCTCCTTCCAGCGGTGCAGGCGGCAACAAGAAACCGGGACCAAATGACAAGAAAGACAAGGTGCGCTACCATCTCTCTCTATGCTCTGCGCATCTGACCGTCCTTGTAGCCCAAGTGGGAACCCCCTGTACCTACGCGTATCGGAAAGAAGAAGAAGCGTGGACCTGACGCCTCCTCTCGTCTCCCTGCCGTCTATCCAACTACTCGCTGCCGGCTCAAGCTGCTCAAGATGGAGAGAATCCAAGATTACCTTCTCATGGAGGAGGAATTCGTCTCGAATCAGGCTGCGCAGTCTGGCGAGGACAAGACAGCGGCCGACCGCACTCGAGTAGACGAACTTCGTGGCTCGCCCATGGGCGTGGGGACCCTGGAGGAGATCATCGATGACGACCACGCTATTGTCTCCTCCGGGGGTGGCTCCGAATACTACGTCAACATCATGTCTTTTGTGGACAAGGATCTTCTCGAGCCCGGATGTTCTGTTCTTCTTCATCACAAGAACCACGCTGTCGTCGGCGTGCTCGCCGACGACACTGATCCTATGGTGTCGGTCATGAAGCTTGACAAGGCCCCAACCGAGAGCTATGCCGACATTGGTGGTCTTGAAAGCCAGATTCAGGAGATCAAGGAGTCTGTCGAGCTTCCTCTTACCCATCCCGAGCTGTACGAAGAGATGGGTATTCGACCACCCAAGGGTGTCATTCTCTACGGTGTACCCGGTACGGGTAAAACTCTCTTAGCAAAGGCTGTCGCCAATCAGACCTCGGCCACCTTCCTCCGAATAGTGGGATCTGAGCTTATTCAGAAATATCTCGGTGATGGGCCCAAACTTGTGAGAGAGCTGTTCAGGGTGGCTGAAGAGAACGCGCCCAGTATCGTGTTCATTGACGAGATCGATGCTGTCGGTACGAAGAGGTACGACTCTACTTCCAGCGGGGAAAGGGAGATTCAGCGAACTATGCTTGAATTGCTGAACCAGCTGGATGGATTTGACACGCGGGGCGATGTCAAGGTCATCATGGCTACCAACAAGGTGAGCTTGCTAGCCATGTGTTCTGTGCGGTAAACTGACTGTTGGCCACAGATCGAGAGTCTTGACCCCGCATTGATCCGTCCAGGTCGTATAGATCGAAAGATTGGTGCGTACAGTACAGCGTCACGGAGCGCTCAACTTACATACCCTATAGAATTCCCTCTTCCCGACACCAAAACCAAGCGTCACATCTTCAAGCTTCATACGTCAAGGATGTCACTGGCTGAGGATGTTGACATCGAGGAGCTGGTTATGACCAAGGACGAACTGTCAGGAGCGGATATCAAGGCTGTTTGTACCGAGGCCGGCTTGCTGGCGCTGCGCGAGAGACGGATGAGGGTGACAAAGGCCGTAAGTCACGCCTCAAGTTTAGTGCTGTATTTTGATCTTTGACGTCCTGTAGGACTTTACAGCTGCGAAAGAGAAGGTCTTGTATGGAAAGGACGAGAATACTGTAAGTTGCTCGATAGCTCATTTGTGCCAATTTGACGGTCATCGTAGCCTGCCGGATTGTACCTTTAATCGTAGCTACGACGTACATACAAGAACGGCCGGTGGAAGTTATGAATACTTGTATAGACGTAGCAAGGGACTCGTATGGGGTTCTCAGCCGGTTTTTTTTTTCTTTACTCCTTTGCTCGGCTATGCAAAACGTACTGTGTGCATTCCTTAACACTTGAGCGTTAGCGCTGAGAGACCGAGATATCGTTGCATCACGGTGGACCTGCCCGCCGCGTCGCGTTCCTTCGGCTTGTGTTTGGCGGTGCTTTTGATAGAGGTTGCTGTTGATTGTCGCCAGCGCGTCGCATCCGCCGACTATCAATTTCACTTGCCAACCTCCATCTCATACGCCATCCTCCATGTTTGGAAACAACAACAGCCGTGCCCAGACTTCCACCGCCACCCGCAGGTCCGTGCCATCTCACTTCTCTTCCTTAGAGCTTCTGCTGATTCCCCCCAGACTCATGAAGGAGTATCGCGACCTGACGGCTGACCCATTACAGGACACTATCACTGCTGGGCCTGTGTCGGAAGACAACATGCTGGAGTGGGAGGCCCTCATTCAAGGCCCGGAGGGCACGCCTTATGTACGTCATTTACTTCGGCTTCGTCGTTCAAGCTGATAGGAGACACAGGAGGGCGGTGTCTTTGCAGCCAAGCTGGTATTTGTATGATATAGCCCAAGTTATACGCGTATAGAGCAGCGCTGACTATCGCATAAGCCTTCCGATTATCCTCTGAACCCTTTCACCATGACGTTCGACCCTCCTCTTCTCCATCCCAACAGTGAGTGAATTGGTGTACTGCTCATATACTGATGCGCCTTCCAAAGTTTATTCAACCGGCCAGGTCTGCATCTCCATATTGCATCCTCCGGGAGATGATCCTTTACAATACGAGTCCGCGTCAGAGCGTTGGTCTCCGGTCCAAGGCGTTCGCAGCGTTCTCCTCAGTGTGCTCAGTATGCTCGCAGAACCGAACATTGAGAGTGGCGCCGATGTTGAGGTATGTAAGAGTCATGATGCCCAAACAAATGCCGACCAACGCTGGCTTTGTAGTGCTGTAAACTGTACCGCGACAATCGTGCAGAATTCGAACGGCGTGTGCGAGAGCAGGTCAGGGCTCTTTTGGGTATATAGAGTAACATGTAATACGGGTAACAACTTTATGAAACTCCTTCTCCAAGAACATCGACGCTGGCATCCTCTTCCACAACCGATACAAATCTAGTCCGTCTCTTGGTGATAGCCTGCCCTTCGCATCTCCCCCAATCTCCTCCTCGCGGCACCAAGATCCTTTTCCAGCTTCAAGATTTCCACCTGCTGTTCCATCTCTCTGACCTTGAACTCGTGAGACGGCATAGCCTTGTAGTCGACAGCTTCGTCGTCTCCTTGTGCGTTGGCCAGCAGCTTGACCTGCTTGACAAGCTTCTTACACGCATCCGTGACAGCTTTCGCGGCCATTTCGAGCGCCTGCTGAGTCTTGGACATAAGAGACGCCTTGACTCTAGAGGCAGCGACAAGCTGTGCAGTGGCAGCAGAGACTTCGTTCAAAGCGACGATGAGCTGCTCCAAGGAGTGGGTGCCAGAAATGACGCCGTCGGCACTCTCGATCAATAGGCCCGTAGCGTAAGCGACGGCCTTGGCGGCAGAGATCAAACCCTCAGTCCAACGGTTGTTCTTTTTATAAAATTGCTGGGTCGTGCTGGTTCCCTTTCCTTCTCGCACAATTTCCTCCTGGCTGTCTTTCGCAGCGTTGATTAAACGACCGATGGCATTGGCAATCTCGAGGGTGAATTTGAGAATGCTGTCGTGCACCTCCGTATTGAGCGAGCCATACCTATCACCGTCTTTGGGACGATTCATAAGGTCATGGATTCGCTGGGTAGCTTCTTCAATGGCTCGAGCCGCGTTTTGCATCTCATTGGCAACGATATCGCCAATGTCACCAGTAGTCTGGTTGAGAGCAGTCTTTGCTTTGGGAACAAACTTCTCGACCGTATCGGACAGCTTGGAGAGGGTGCTGCGGGTTTCGGCGTTGTTTCTCAAAGCAGCATCTTCACTCTTCCCACCAGCCAACAATCGGAACGACTGAAGGTTATAGAAGAACCGGTATCCAGTGTCACCAGATTGCTTGGCGATACTGATGAGCTTTTCGGAAGCCTCATCGTTCTCAGCGAAACGGGTGATACCTTTGGTACTGATGAGGGTCTCCCAAAGAGATTGACAGAACTCGTTGGCTGTCCGGATGACATCGACATGGGTACCGCCGCTCTTGGTGAGGTAACGATTGAAGGTCGAGGCGAACTCGGTGGCATCCGTCATTGCCTTCTCGATCATCGACAGGGTGTACTCTGGAGTAGCGGTGGTGTTGCCCGTCTGCATGGGGGCCTCCAGGACGACGATAGCGTCGTCAACCTTCTTCATTGACGCCTGCAATATAGAATCGATGATGGCGTTGAGATCTCTGCGGTGATTGAGAATAAGGGTGTCGACTTGAGCATCAAACGCCTGGGAAGTGTCGCCTTGGTTCTGTGAGGTGTCAGCAGAGCAAGCAATATGCTATGGAAAGTGCTCACTTGTCTGAGATCACTGAGCTCTTGCAGAGTAGAGTCCATTCCTTCCTGCATGATCATGATTTCCTGGTCCTTCTCATCCATAGCATGCTGGATCTCGGACTGCTTTTCGTCAAGCTTGCGAAGCAAGTCGTCGATTTGCAACTGTTTAGACTAATCATGGCTATTAGCATATGGCAAAGACCGCCTCAAGAGACGTACTCGTAACGAATCCTCGAGCTCGGTGAGCTGGCGATTGTACCTCGACATGATGTCCGAGACTTCTGTACTCTTGTGGCGAGAGGCGTCTTCGGCGCGTTCGTTGGCAAATGCCAAGTCTCTTTTGATCCGATCTGTCTCTTCGCGGTGACTCTGATAGAAGTGTCAATGAATGGTGATTGGCGACGCGAAGCACTACTGACCGACTTTACTCTGTCCAAATCGTATCTGGCTCTGTCTCTCTCTCTAATCATATCGGCGAGCTCCAGGTTCTTTGACTTGACATCCCGCTCCATTCTCTCCATCTTGTCGATAGCCTCTTGGGCAGAGTTGGCCTTGAGCTGGAAACCCTTGGACTTGTTGAGCAAGTCGAGATGCTCCCCACGCAATTGAGAATAGAGCTTTGCGAGCGCCTCATACTTGCGTTTCCAAGACTCGATCTGCTGCTGTAGTTGAGCGATAAGGTCATCTTTGGCAGACATTTGCCCTCCAACGTTCATACCGATAGAGGCCAACTCCTGTTCGAGGGCCTTGACTCGCCCGTCGTACTGTGCCAGGAGCATTTGATCACGCTCATACTGACCTCGCATAGCCAGCATCTCTTGCTGAACCTGAGCCGCCTGTGAGGCCTGCTGATTGGTCCACTGTTGGCTCATCTGATCGCGAAGCAGCTGCTCCTGAAGCTGCGCTTGAGCCTGAGCTTCGCGCTCTTGCTGCAAGCGCTGCTGCTCGGCGTATTCGGCTTCCTGCCGTCGCTTCTCATCTTCTTGGCGACGCTGGTCCGCTTCACGTTGGGATACGAGATTCGACTGCTTTCGCTCGTACTCTTCCAACATGCGTCGCTGCTCATCAATCTCGCCTTGAGTAGGCTGAGGGGAAGAAGGGGGGCGGGGGGTTTCCTTGCGTTCTGGTCGTTTATCGGTTGTGGGTCGCTCCGGAAGTTCAGGGGCGACTCCATTATCAATGAGATTGGGGGGTTCCTGTTATGTCAGCGGGCGAAGCGTGCGAGTATACGTACCTGTCCCAGTTTGGGTACGTTGATGAGTCCGGTGAGATATTTGAGATTGCTGCACTCGTAGTAGAAGCGACGAAGGTTGTAGTGTTGGGCGTTGTAGCGCTCTCGCAGTGGAGAGAGAGCATCGGCAGCATCGGTCCCTGCACAAAGTCAGCTACCGTACCATACGTTGGTTTGTCAAACATACGTCGGTGCATGGCACGAAGCATGGAAGTGATAAACTTGTAAATGCCAAAGCTCTCCTTGACGAGAGGCACCAAAGCAGAGATTCGGCACTCGTTGTTGACAGATCCACGGAATGCGGCAAAAATGAGTTTCTGGAAAGACTCGATCTGGTCTTGAAGAGTCATCAAGTCTGTGATAGTCTCATAACTGCAAGGCGTGTTAGATGATACCAGGTCGCGCGGATGAGTGACAACCTACCCCTCATTAGGGTCATCAATATTCTTCAAGCTGATGTACTCCTCGTATTCAAACAAGCCATTGAACTCGGGGTGGTGACGATGGAATCGCAACTTGGCGAGAAGGAAGGACGTGTACGCCTTGATAAGAACGCCGTAGCCCTTTCCTGTATCTCCCACTGTTCGCCCACATGTTTCTATCCATCCAGTCTGTGCGTGTGCTTCTTTGAGAGTCTACTTGGTCAGCGCTGCTTCGAGCAGAGTGGAACTCACCACTGGGTGTCCCTCCTGGAGAAGCTTATGGACGACGATAAGAGCCTTGAAAGTCTGCACTTCGTCCGCAAGGATCGGCTGAGTACGGAGTCCATTCCAGACAGAGAGGGAAGAGTGGTAGTCCCATGTGTACACGATGCACTCTGAATGTCAGCTCGGGCCGGGGCAGGCTGCACTCACTTCTGACGTGTTTCTGTTCTACAAGCAGAGTCAGGATAGCGTCGCATGGAGGCAGGGTACGTACTGGGTGCGGTTTCTTCCGGGCTGGTGGCCTTCTTGATGCTGGTCGAGAGTTCTGTCTCTGTCTTGTCCTTGTCTACCGGCCGGGTGGGCTGATGGGAGTTTGCGTTTGCCTGGGCGCGGGCCGAGGGATAGTCATCGAAGTCGGCGTTGTTGCGGCCGAACCTGCGGGGGTCAGCGGCGGGACGGCGGGCGGGGCGGGGTGCTCACATGGGGGGCGGGCGGGACAGATGCAGAGAGATGCAAAGAGATGCAGAGATGCAGAGCACAAGCAGAGCAGGACATGCCATCTAATCTCGTTGGCTGCAGTGATGACGTTGCGGCCCCGCGCCTACCAGCGGCCATCCCCGACGAGGAGCCATAGGCGCGGGCGACACGTCAATACGCTCTCATTTCAGGTACTCGAGTACTGACAGTACATAGCCTCAGCATAGACTAATCCCGTTCAGCCCCTTGCCCCTCCCAACGAGCAGCCCCTCATCGCCGCCCGGATTCTACCGCACGCACTACCAAACCCCCCTCCCCCTCGACCACCTTGATGGATGGCGCCATTCGACCTCGATGCCTGCATCGACCGTCTGCGCAACAAGCAGCTGCTGGGCGAGGCGCTCATCCGCGAGATTTGCGAAAAGACCAAAGAGGTCCTCATGCGCGAGAGCAATGTCGTCCATGTGTCCTCGCCGGTCACCGTCGTCGGAGACATTCATGGTCAATTTCATGACCTCATAGAAATATTCCGGATAGGCGGTCAGGCTCCCAACACCAACTACCTTTTCTTGGGTATGTCAGGCTCTTTGAGTGATATTAGTCCTCTGACATGTCGCCGCAGGTGACTACGTGGATCGAGGATTGCACTCGGTAGAGACAATATCCCTCTTGACTTGCCTCAAACTTCGTTATCCTGAACGAATCCAGCTCATTCGGGGCAATCACGAGTCCAGAGCCGTCACCCAGGTAAGCCATAGTGGCCAGCGTCATTGAGCGTGTGATGAGAAAACAAAAGAGGACTCTGAGGCCCCTGCCAATGGAGAAGGCTCTGCTGGTCAGCCGTAGGTACACTGGCAAGTCTTTGCAAGGAACCCGCTGTTCAGGAGAGTATAGAGAACGGAAATCTGATGCTCATTATATATCATCCTCCCCATTGAATGGAGCTGACTGGTTCAGACGTATGGCTTCTACCTCGAGTGCACAAGAAAATATGGGTCACCGGCAGTATGGCAATACTTTACCGACATGTTTGACTTTCTCACGCTCAGTGTCGTGATCGACGACGCTATCTTTTGTGTCCACGGCGGTCTCAGCCCTTCAATCCATCAAATCGACCAGATCAAGATCATAGACCGCTTTAGAGAGATACCGCACGAAGGGCCCATGGCCGACCTTGTGTGGTCAGATCCAGATCCAGAGAAGGAAGATTTTGCCATCAGTCCGAGGTATGGTCAATTCTTCTCGGAAATCTATCGGAGCTTACACTTGCGCAGAGGAGCCGGATATACATTCGGGGCATCTATCGTCAAGAAATTCCTCCACCTCAACGGCATGAATCATGTTTTACGCGCCCATCAACTTTGTATGGAAGGATACTCTGTACTGTACAACGACCAGCTGAGCACAGTATGGAGCGCTCCCAATTACTGTTACAGGTGAGAATGTCTGAATGAAAGGTGACATGCGCTAATGACACGCTGCAGGTGTGGGAACATGGCAAGTATACTCGAGGTGTCGCCAGGAGGGAGGAGGTTCTTCAATGTGTTTAGCGCCGCTCCCGAAAATGAGGTTTGTCAGGTTGTAGCTTGGATAATAATTTGGCTCACCGATTCCTTCAGCGAGATGGACCGAGTCAGCAGCAGCCAGGAAAGGCAAGTACATGTGGCGCCGAACGCGTCCGTCCAACTAACTGTATCCGCAGCAAATCGAATACTTTTTATAAACACTACCCTGCATCCACCATATACCACTCATGCGTCCCAATCTAGAGCCCCGAATAGTTCGTCGATTAGGTCGTAGCTCCTTCCTCTTAACACCCCCTTTCCTCCATTCATCACGTCTTTTACGCCCGGTAACGCCCATTCTTTTGTGACCTTCCACCGCCTGCATATGAACACTTTGGCCTCCCAATCGCCTCCCCGAACTGGGAACATGTGGAAATAACGGGCGAGAGCATCAAAGAAGGATTCTTCCAGTGCGAGTGTTCGAGAGAGATCTTGCTTTGAGCATGAGCTGGATGCTTGTATATACGGTGAACTGCGGCTTACAAGATAGGATAATATCTGGCCCGAACGTAGTGCCCTCGATGTCGTCTATATCTTTTGGCTCGGTCAGGCTGAGCAGAGTGTGGAGGAGTAATGGGTATAAGTGGGGGAAATACACCTATCGTGGTTTAGGAAAAGCATGCAGTGTCTGTCCGATCGACTCACAAGATCACACATGAGGATATGAGTCAGAGATCCAAACTCGCTGGTTACATCGGACACACTCTCGCCCCAGGCCAGGGGCCGTGCGACCACCCTCGCATGTTGCTGGGAAGGAGGTTCCCAACATTCTATGCATCTTTCACAAAGGGGCATGACAGAGGGGAGGTCGGTGACAATGACAGTGTCTCGATCTGTGAGCCCTTCAGCCAAGTGCAGCGAAGCTACTGATTGGCCAGAACCAAGCTCCAATATGGTGCGAGGGCCAGACGACAGAAACACGGGACACGCGGGGTCATACTGTTGTGATGGAGTTAGGTACTCCAGTAGTGGCCGGGTGGCCTCCCTACGACTGCATGAATAGGATTCCACCGCGCTTGTCGGCTGTGGGGGCTCACCACACGCGGCCTGCTATGCCATACGTCGCGATCGCGTCGGCCTGCTCGGTGGGCTGCGTCTGCGCGAGCGAGAGTGAGTGCTGGAGGAGAAGGGGGCGGATATTGAGGTTTGGGGGAAAGTTGGGGTCTGCCATGCTGCGCGGTATGCTACCTGATGGATATTAGATGGATACCTGCCATTGTGCGTCAGCGAGGTGGCGTCGCATGCATCGGCGCTAGGAATTTGCTTCCGCCCGCGCCGCCACAGTAGGTGCCGTGCGAAAAACGCCGTGGGCGGCGGGGTCCGCCTGTGGGTGTGCGCGCTTGGAGGAGCAGGGAGGCGAAGGCGGGCTTGCTCTTTTTGCTCTTTTGTTTCTCACCCGTCAACACAACCCCAAAAATGGCGCGCTCTTCCACTCTCGCCCCCAACGTGGGCAGGCTCTCTCGATCCCAGGTCGCCGCCAAGCGAGGTCTCTTCAAGGGTGAGTCGGCACCAAGCGCAGAGCACGGCACACAAGTTTAGGGAATTTGGCGGGAAGGCCATGGTTGAGGAGGGATGGACATGCGGAGAGCAAGAGGGCATGGGGGAGATAGCGATACACAAGGAATGGTGTCTAACGAGTGTGTTGTAGGCAAGAAGACCGCCCAGGCCCCCGCTAAGACTGAGGCCCCTGCTACCACCGAGAAGAAGGTCGGCGGTGCTAAGAACGGCGAGAAGCGATTGGTCCCCACCTCCAAGGCTTCCAAGTACTACCCCGCCGAGGACGTCCGAAAGCCCAAGGTCTCCCGAAAGACCGCCGCCAAGACTGTCCTCCGAAACAGCATCACCCCCGGTACCGTCCTCATCCTCCTCGCCGGCCGATTCTCCGGCAAGCGAGTCGTCTTCCTCAAGCAGCTCGACTCTGGTCTCTTGTTGGTCTCTGGTCCTCACAAGTCAGTCAATGTTTCGCAAGCATGTTCGAGGGGTGGAGAAGACGCGCCGGTTGTGGGTTAGAGTTTTTGTGCTGATATCAGGCGCAGGATCAACGGTGTCCCCCTCCGACGAGTGAGCCAGGCCTACGTTATCGCTACCTCCACCAAGGTCGACATCTCCGCCGTTTCCATCCCCGAGTCTATCAACGACGCCTACTTCACCAAGGCCAAGGCTGCCAAGTCTACCAAGGAGGGAGAGTTCTTCGGTGAGGGTCAGGAGAAGAAGGCGTTCCCCGAGGAGAAGAAGGCCGAGCAGAAGGTGAGTCGTGTGCAGAGTTTGCTCCCATCGCTCCATGCTGATGATTTCCCTCTAGGCCGTCGACGCTGCTCTCATCGCTTCTATCAAGAAGGTTGACAACCTCTCCAAGTACTTGAAGTCTTCTTGGGGTCTCTCCAAGGGCGACCGATTCCACGAGCTCAAGTTCTAGATGGTCGTTGATGGGGTTTGAGATGCATGTATCACAGCTACTTTACGACTATAATTACAACCAAGGAGCCCAACCGAGATACATCAGACCCTATATGGCCAGTGTCAGTCCGCCCGAAACAGAGGATTCGAGAACAAGGCTGGCAAGGAACTGCCTAGAGACACGTACGAGATTGTTTGGAGATGTTGCCTCCTTGATCAGATAGTCGACCTGGCTGGGGACGGAGAGCACCGTGTTCTTGTCGTCCTTTTCCTTCATGATGCCCCGAAGCTTCCTCTTGATAGGTCGGAGGTTCCTGTCGGCAGAGTGACGGATATCACGGACATCCTTCTCGGCACTTTTCTTCCCACGGCCCTGACAATGATGGTAAGAACAACATCCCAGGTATCGAGAGTGACTTACGGAACGTGCCCATTCGACCAGCGGATCATGCACAAACGCCTCCAAGACACTCATCAGGGAATCGCTATTGGAGCGAAGGATGTCCAAGGTGATTTCACCGGCCTTGCGGTACACGCCTGGACCCGTCCATCGTCAGACAGAACAACTCTACGACTTGATTCACTCACCTTCCACCCCCGTAACACCCAACGCGCCCACAAGATTCTGAGTCAGCCGGAAGGGGACCCGCTCCGGAATTTCAAACGTAGTGCCCTTTCCTCATAGTTAGAATGATCGACATTATGCAACGCACTTGGCTCACCTTTTCAAACAGACAATTCAGATCAACATGGACCGTATCGCCAGTGAGGCCATCAAAAAGGATATTTTCACCATGCCTATCTCCGAGGCTAGAGTGGTCATAAGCATCGCGCCAGTAATCCGGTACCATCGTCAACAGGCTTACCCAAGGACATAGCCTATCATTGACATCACAGCAAGCGTGCGACTATAGGCTGAACGGCTGGCCATCCATGCGGAGGGTTCCGGCCATGTTGTCAAAAACCACTCGTTGAACCGCGTCGGTTGGTAACTAAAGTGGCGATCGTCAGTGAACGTAAGATGCGTAAAGGCAACAGACTTGCGCAGGCAGAATCACGTCCTTGAAACATTTGACGACCGCGTCCAGATTTTGCTTGCGTGCATTGCCCATGGCCGTTTGATGATCACCGTACTGGAGCGCAGATGATGAATCAGCTTTGTTTGCATGAGACCAACATCACTTACCCAGACTCGTTTCCCGTATCGGGCGTAGCATTTCTCTAGAATACTTTTGAAAGGAGCCGTGTTTGCTACCCATTCCAGGAGACCGCACTCCTCGTTGAGTGGCATGACAGCATAAGTCCGAACATCTGACGATAGTCAGTGAGGATTCTCACCCATATCATGGCATCGAAACTTACAAAGCTGACGCTTTCGGGACTCCGAAGCTCTCTTCAACAGTTTATTGATCATCGAGTTGAGATCCATCAAACGAGCATCCTTGCGGAGATCGTCGTGTGGCTTACACAAGAATGGATACTCCTTGCCGTCGCTTCCAATGAACATGAGCTTCTTGGGCTTCACCAGAGAAGACATCATCTCTACTCGATCCGCAATGTTCTTGATCTCGATGGGTTCGGAAGGAAAGGGCGTGTGGGTTTGAACTGTATCGGAGGAAGTGGGTAGCGGGCATGTGAGAGCATCCTGTAGGGGTAATATCATTGTGGAAGGGAGCACCCTGAGCACATAAGGGAAATCATTCTTGAGAGATTTGTATTTCTTGTCATCTGGCGGATGATCAGCCAGTCGCAGCAAGGTGCTGCAGAAAGCATCTGCGTCCTGGACTGCTTTGGCGATGGGCTAGCATTATCAGCAAAGCAGATGTCTTGCTAAACTCACGATTGCCTTGTCCAGCACTTTCCGGCACATATTCTTTCTCTCAATCTGATTGGACTGCATTACCCCTACCATTGGCCACAAGGCTTGTTGAGGATATTGGCAAAGGACTCGGACCATGATTTCGCGAAGCTCTTTGAACACGTTGGGGTCGGGGTGCATGATCCGAGAAACGATTTGAGGGAAAGCCATGAAGAACTGGATGTCAGATTGAGTCGTACATAATCGTGACTTACTTGATAAGGAGGTAATTCCCGCGCGGCCTTGTGGATAGTATCATGTATACTTTTGACGTATTTGTCTCTTGACCTAAGCGTCATAATCAGACAGCATTTCACGGCATTTCGACAGTCACTCACTTTCTCGTGTCAGTTGTCTCACCCAGGTCAAGCCAGATGGTAAGCATCCTAGGCATGGTTTGAAATATGTACTTGACGCCGTAGCGCAATGCCTTTGAATACATGAGGACTGTGTGGTATTTGAAGACAGTGCTGTGCGATGTAAGCATTTCCATAGCGTCTCGTCGATCGACCCACTTCTCCTTTGTTTCTCCCGTCAAAGAGTCGTAGAAATGACCAAAATGATAGTAGGGCGACTCTAGGCTATCGAATCGTTAGAGGTCGCGCATCCAGAGTCAGAACGCTTGCTCACTTGTCGCAAAAGTTGATTGCCTCTTTGTACCTCGTGATGATCTCGTTCAGTTCGAATCTGTCCGTTTCGTTGGCCCATCGTGCCATCAAGAGTACAGCCTGGGGGATGATCAGAGACAAGCTTGTTGTTACAGAGTCACCGACTTACCTTTGCCATCTTGATCTGTTGATTCATATCGTCGTCATTGGTTCCCTTCCCTGACAGCTTCCTCTTTTCACTCGCCAAGGCATTTTCCAAATCAGTCAATGCCTTCAGAACGCTGCCTTGAGCACGGCGAAGCTTCGCTTGCTGCACAAATACGAAAGGCGCCGAAGCTGATACAGCCTGAAGGGTTGCGCTGTAAGCTGTCTGCTCGTAGCCAGCTTTACGAGCAATTTTGGAGCTGAGGATCCATGCGTCGCCGATCTCTGGATTGAGAGAAGGCGTATTCATCAATCCGTAGGCTGTTCTTCGGACACTGAGGATTGCTTCACGTGTTCGGAACGCCGGCGAAGTGGTGTGGAATCGGTCTTCAAGAGCCTTGTTGAGACTTCGCACCCCTGCCTGGATAATTGCCTGTCTGTTGGCGTTGCGAGGGGTAGTCTCAATGCGCGTTTTAGTCTCGTTGATCATTGATATCTCGTGTATCATGTGCAGTTGGAGTAAGGCATCTTGAGCCGAGTTGTACCCTTTGCCTGTGATACCGATGCCGACTTCGCTTCTCACCTGCTTCAGAACAATCTTAAGATCTTGGTTCTCGTGAAGGGCGAGCAAGGCCTTTCCAATCGGGGGGCAGTCTTTGCCTACCAGCCGTACAGTGTCCCAATCCCCAATGATCCACGCTGCTTCTGCCTCGAGTTGAACCAGCGGAGCACGCCACTCCGGATGGCGGCTGAGTACGCCTCGGATATGGGTACGCAGGGTATCTGGAAGACAGCATGTAAGTACGGCAGTTGCTTTGTAATGATCACTCACCATAATGACCGAGGTTTCGAAGACATTTGAGCAACCCATGATGGAGAGTCACATCATCGGGTGACTGTTGCAATCTCACCTCCCAACAACTCTGTGCCGCAGTCCATCTACCTGTGCTTTCATGCTCTCTGATCTGATGCTCCAATGTTGGCGATATGACAAAGGTGGAGACGCCCTCCATACCGTCAGGCTCGTCCAACTCGGCGTAGATATGGTGCAAGTTTTCGTAATATTGCTGCAGGTCATCGCGGGCACGCCCCTCGCGTGTGAGCTGCACAACCCGTTCTTCAAAGCTTCTCAGTGACCTCGCATACGCTTTGCTGTTCATAGCCGCGTGTGCCATGAGTTCAGTCTCGATACTATTCAGGACTTGCTCCACAGGTTTTCCCTTGACTGAGCGCTCCGATTTGTCTGGCTTGACTCGGGTTAGACGCAGCCATTTGCTCAGATGGTCCATCAAGTCAAAGATGACCTGCGCTGCGAGTGATCGTCGCCCAGTGGGCCCCGATGGCTGCACCTGATCTTGCAGGACTGTGTTGATCTCGAGAGAAATCTCATCGTTGTACAATTGGTTGTTGGAAAGCAGGACGTTCAACACCAGATGGGGAAGCATGTGGTGGGCCACAGTAACATCTTGGTGCTTCAAAATGATGCCTTTGAACACTCCAAAGATCGATTTGCTATCGGCCTCTGCTCTGCCCTGTCCGGGCATAGACATGACCTTGTTTATCAGGTCTGTTGTCCATCCCTGTAGCCATTCCCGATACGTATTTGTGGATGCGTATATCGGATAGACAAAGGTGCGAGCAGTGGAGTCTCGCAGAGAAAATCGAGTCTCAAGAAGAGGTGTAAGTGTCTCGAGCTGATCTTTCGGGAAACTTGCCCATCGCGATAGGATTTGGGGGTCCACCCCCCGGCTGTCCTGCGCAACAACTTTGATGGTGAACCCACAGAAACGCAGTAGCTCTTGTATAGCAAATGCTAGATATGTTTGATGGGTGGTATCATTCGTCGCACGGAAGGCATCGACAAGCAAGTCGCGCACAAGATGTAGCGCGAAATTGATTGACTCTTGCGAGTCATTGAAGTTGGACATGAGTAGGACAGTACCACTTTCCGACTGATAACCCAGTCGATCGGGATCCAAGGCGCCCAGAATGCCCATACACTCATAGCTCAAGTCCCTCAACTCGTCGTAATCCCCATCCCTAGTAGCTACCGTGAAGAGAACAGACATTATCTTGGCGGCGATGGCGTCGAATGTGTCTCCTTGCGCGAGCTTGAGCACATCATTTTGATGTTGAAGCAACAGGCGTTTGAGCTCGTTCATTGATGCTGTTGAGATAGCCACATTGTTGCTCGCGGCTCTGTCCAGGACTTTGGATATCCGCACTGACACGGGGGCTTTCTTTCCGGGTCCGGCCAGTGTTGCTGCCGCGTGTCTCAGCTCGGGAATGTGGTCCATGCCCACGACCTCATCTGTAAACTCTTTGAGTTCTTTGGTGTTGGACGCAATAAGGTCCACTATCCTTTTTGCCACTTGTTTGGCCTCCGAGTCGAAACTTGGCCAATTGGTGACAAGTGCGCCTGTCGTGCGACCGACAAAGGGGCCGACGTTTCGAAATCTCAAAGTATCCACAAAGGTCAACCAGGTGTTGAGAGTCTCTAGTCTGAGCTCTTTGACGCCTAGTGTGCTTTGTAGGCTTGCCATTATCTATAAGCTTTGTCAGTATTGAGACTACAGAGATAGAGATCACTCACCTGAGGAGAAAAAGACGTCATGGAGTCCCCTGCCATCTTGATCAACTCGCCCAGACTCCGAATCATTTTGCATTTTTCTGAGGCTGTTTTCTTCCCCAAAGCCCCATGCAGCATATCGTTCAGTTGCGATATGATGCCCGCCATGTGAGGTTTGAGGAAAGCGCCCACGTCCTGATTTGAGGTTTTCTTCTCTTCACTATACTCTTTGGCTTTCTTGAGACCCTTCTGTGCCGCATCTCTAACATTGGGATCCTCATCGCCCAGCTGTATGACTAGTATCACACAGAAATCAACGGTGCACGACCGCATCATGGACTGGACGGAAATGGAGGAATCCGTAATCGAGCGCATAGTTTTGACGAGAAAGTCGAGAGTGGTATTGATCTTGGAAGGGTGCACAAAAATATGCGCCAGTACATGAGCCATGTTGTCCATGATGGCTACACCTATGTTTTGTTTGACGATCCCGGCCACCGTTGATAGAGCGTCTAGATTTCGGGACAAGACCAGCGCTGGCACAACGTGCTGGAGCGACGCAGAGAAGAGTATTTGTCGGCTGGACTTGAGGAAGGATGTGGTTTCGGCGACCATTTCTGGAGAGCGCTGAATGCTCTCCGCAAGGACAACACTAATGCGGTCTAGGAAGGGGTTCAGAAGGGCATAGGGCGTCTTTTTCCGCGCCTTGGCAAGGTTCACCAGCTGACAAATGGGATCAGATTCGACAAGAACAGGATGGACAGTAAACTTACAGCAGCATAGGCGACACTCCTTAGGTGTTCGTGGGACGACCCAAGTTGTTCCAAGAGAAGGCGTAGTACGGAGCAGAGCGCGTCGCGTTCGGCATAGCGACCTATCTCTCCGAGAGCCAATGTAGCCACTTCTCCGGTAGCCAAGGGCTTTAGGACGGGGACTAGGGCATCTATATACCCATGTTGATTTCTTTTGGCAACGCGCGGATCCGGGTGTGAATCTTGAGCAATGAATAGGGAAACCAGCGCTCGACTGAATAAATTGTCAGCAAGCTACCAGTCTCGTTTCAACCAGCGCCTTACCTAGTAGCGACTCTCATACCCCTGTCTGAATCAAGCAAGCCGCTGCTGATGACATCCATGATAGCGGCGCGCTCTGCAATATGCATGCTGGTCGCGACGACTTTAGCTGGTGTATGCATGAAGATTGCTGCCAGCGCGTTCATCATTGACAAATCAGTCACGGCCACTTTAAGCCATAAATCCAAAACGTTTGGTTTCAGCTGCCGAGGCGAAACTGAAGGAGTATGCCGATGTTCCCCGGCGATCTCACAGACAATGCGAGGCATCATAGGAGCCAGAGGCGCCAATGATTCCTCTTGGCGCAGCAATATATCCACAAGGTCCTCCGCGCCTGCTGTATCCGGATACAGCTTTTCGAGATCCTGTCGCACAGTCGCCTCGCCGTTATTACGCTTTCTCTTTTTTGACGGCAGCGAAGGCAGGTCGGTTTCGTGCGTTTCGTGTCGCCTGAAGGCCTGAATCCTACGCTCTTTGGAGGGATCACCAGTGCTATCAGCTATTTCACGAGCTTTGGCAAGCCATATCTTGATAATGCCCTCGGACTCAAGAGCTTCTTGGATGGAGGAGTGTGGCAGCCTAGGGGGGATCGAGGTCAAAAGATGATTGATGGCTGGATAGCCAACGCAGTCGTCCGTCATATCCAATGTATGGACTCGCTGGTACAAGCACCACCATACTTCGACACGAATCTCTTCGTGCGCTAGCGAGATATTCTTGTAGAAATCCTTCAGAGCTATTTGGCCTTCGAGGTCATTTGAGAAGGTCACGCCCGCAAGAGAAGCGCAGGCCTTGGTTACACCCTCAAAGCGACCAGAAGATATGGCGCTAGTGACAGCTCTAATGAATCGCGTCTGCAGATCATCCGTCTGTATCAGAGGGATTGCTTGTGATAGCATATTGCAGGCAGTAGATTGAAAGGCGGAGGAGAAGGTGAGGTCGAGCTGGACAACGATGGAAAGAGAGCATAAGAGGCTGGCACAGTTGCTGGGGAGGCATTGGCAATGAAACAGTTTTGCGTCTCTATAGTCGAGGATATCTTGGAACGGACCATCAGATCACGGCATCAATTGTAAAGTGTTGCTCACCTTGGCAAAACAAGATTATACTATCCAATATTTTTGCTGCCCTTGCTGGCCCCCCTAAAACGGATGGGTCCGACGCTTCCGACGAATCTCTCGCTATCCCTCGTATGACGCTGACGACAGCCGCTGAAGCTTCGTCTGCCAAAAGAGGAAGCCGGGATATTGACGCAATGTATATGAGTCGTGGAAGCAGCCATTGGTAAAAGGGCGCATCGGCGAAGATGTCGAGGAGATACGAGGGATTTGAGGCGGTCTGACTATCAATGATAGCAAGGGTGTATGATGATTGCTGTGGATCGACTGGGGTGCCCGATGAGAGGGGTTTGAGGATGCAGTGTTCGAGCAGCACCTGGACCAGCTCGCCTGGGCGGGACTGGCCGTGTGCGCTGCCGGGGGTGAGGCCTTCTTTGAGGAGGCGGGGGAGAAGGGACTGTATGTGCGGCGGGGCGGCGGCGTACTGCGTTGCTGGGAGGGCGGCGGGCATCGGGGTGGGGTGGGTGGTCAAGTGGAGGACGAGACGCGTCGCGTAGGGAGATTTCATGTCCATTTGCTCCCGTGTTTGCTTCCGCCCGGTCATACTCACTTCTCTTGCACTTCTCAGCAACTTCTCTGTATTGTCTCTGTATTGTCTCTGTAACAGAACTCCCTCACCGCCGCCATGTCGAAGAAATCAGACCTGCTCGTCCGCGTACGCTACCAGAACCCGCTCCCCCAGCCCCCCTTCCCCCCCAAGCTCCTCGATGTCCCCACCACCGTCGCCCGCCTCGGCCGCCCCGAATTCCTCGAACAGCTCGCCGCAAGCACCCCTCTCGCCATGCTCGTAGACTCGGAAATGGGCATGCACATCGACCTCAATCCCTACGACGGTGTCTGGAACGGGGAAGATCAATGTACGTCCAACATCCCTCGACTGCGCTGACCGTCAGCCCTCAATCCGATCCCCGATCCCGATAGAGTACAGAACCCCATCGACCTCACTCTTCTTGCCCCTTTCAATCCTCCTCCTACCGCCACTGGCGAGACCAAATCAGCGCCATCCGCCACAGACGTGTCCTGGATGCGAAACAATAGCTACATTACCCGCAGGAATAACGCTCGCCGCAAGGAAACAGCGGCAGAAGCTAAAGAAGACGAGGTCGTGGATGCCTCTGAGGCTGCCCAGCTGTTGACCATCGAAAAGTCCTTTTTGGATATCGCTACGCAGGATCCGAAAGAGGTCAAGCACCCCGACCCCAAGAAAAGAAATCTCACGGTTGTTGACGTACGTGGAAACGGATCTGCAGGCGAGCACTCTGAACTAATGCACCTTTAGAGTTACGACATTCTTCCCGACGATGAGGCTTGGTCAAACAATTACATCCTCCTCCGGTTCCCCGAGAGGCCTTCTGCTTCCACAGCTGTCGTACGTGCAGCTCCCAGGTACTCTGCCAATTACTGACTTGGGACCATAGAACCCAGCTGCCGGCGCATCGTCGCCACGCTTGGCCAAATCCATTCTCCGGCCTATTGTGGAAGACGAGCAGCAGATGATGGACTTTTATCTCCCGCAAGAAGAAGATGTGGCCAAGATCGACGACGCCTACAATCAGGCTGTGGATGAGGAGCCTTTGCAAAGAATACTGCAACTGAGCGCAGACGATACAGATGATCCCGAGATTGACCGCACCTTTGCCGTGAGGTTTCCGGTTCATTCCGTAGAGGCAAAATACTGATCATCCGCTTAGAATACTCATTACGACCGCATCCGCACGTACGAAGTGGTCAGCACCGTGGTCCCTGAAAAGGAGGTGCTCGTCTCTTTCCAAGAAGAAGAGAGCCAACACGTCGATGAGAACGATGAACGGCCAGCAAAGAAAAGAAAGGGTGTCTACTACAAAGAAATCAATTTCAAGACTCTGTTGCGAAAGACCCGATCCAAGGCAAGTCCTGCATGCGGCTGCCTGTCATCTGGCTAATCCTATCCAGCGACGCGAGGAATTGGACAATCAAGATGACCGATGGGACAAGGGCCGTATCGGATTCAGAAAACCGAACGAGACCGACGCCGAACTACGCCGAAAGGGTCGCAGTCGTGTGGCCGATCCAGGATGGGCAAATGAACAATTGCGGGCGATCCACGGCGGAGAAAATATGGCGGAAGGGCAGGGAGAAGCCATCGATGACGAGGAAGATGAACCGGATGATGGCGCTCTTTGGGCCGAAAGGGCGGCTCGAGACGAGGACAGTGACTAGGATGAAGACCGTGATATGCATACAACAGTAGTAACGACTATAGATGACCAAATTTGGATCTACTCGTCTCCCAGTATCTCCCGTATCCTTTGCACGATATCTAGGTAAGCCGTAGTCGCCGGGCTATCGGGATATTCGTCCAAGAAACTCAACCCTTCATCACAAGTCATGCCAATGCGCGGATCCAAGGGGACCTTGCCCAGTATCTCGATCCCCAACTCCTTCCCCATCGCTTCCGCTCCTCCTGTGGTTGGGGCAAAGATCTGACTCTCGTTTTTGCAGTTGGGACAAACAAATCCAGACATGTTTTCGACCATGCCAAGAATGGGGATACCGACCTTTCGGCAAAAATCGATCTCCTTCCTGACATCCTGCAATGCCACCTCCTGCGGCGTTGTGACTAGGACAGCGCCGTCTATGCCGGCCTCTTTCAGGTATTGGACGATAGAGAGATGCTCATCGCTTGTACCAGGAGGAGTATCGATCACCATGTAGTCCAAGTCACCCCATTCCACATCCTTCAAGAATTGCTTGATAAGCCCGTTCTTTTTCGGTCCTCGCCAGATGACGGCATCCGAAGTGGAAGGAAGAAGAAATCCGATAGACATGACAGCCAGATTGTCTAGCGCATAAGCAGGAGACCATCCAGATGAAGAAGTGTGTATAGTCGAGGACTGAAGGCCCATCAAAAGAGGGATGGAGGGACCGCAGATGTCAATGTCCATGATTCCTGTCTGTGTGTCCAGTCAGCAACGAACCTGCAACGCAGATGCCCGATACATACCTGACACTCTTCGTCCGCTGCCAGTGCCCAACTGAGGCCTGCAGAGAATGTGCTCTTCCCTACTCCTCCTTTTCCGGAGAGAACCAAAACTTTGCGCTTCACGTTGCTCATCCTCTCGCGGATCAATGGCAGATCCGGGTCAGGGCCCTTTGGCCCCTCCGCGCACACCGACTGATTAGGGCAGCCTTCGCACGCATCGGACTTTCCTGCATTGGTCGATTCCACTCCCTGCCGGGGTCAACAAAAAAACGAATGACAGAACGTGCAATCGACTTACAGGGCAGTGATCAGGAGCGTTCTCGGGGACAGTGGCTGGCAGAACAGTCGAAGAAGGCTTGAGTGGCACTGGAGAAGGTGCAGATACCGGCACAGGGATTGCTGTCTGTGTAGCTATCATTCTGCAAGTCGTGAAGAAATATGTCTTGTTGCTGACTGTCTTTTGTCGGAGCTCGCTCGGTCAGCCGCCACCCGGAAGCAAATTCCGGCCAATCGTGGACGGCGGACATCGCCACTTTGCGACTCTGTGATATCAATTGAAGTGTCCAATCCCATTGGTGCGTCAAGTGTAGCCACTCCCTGGCTGCTCAGGTGGCCTTAATTCGAGCACGCTTGCTCTACTGATCATGCCATTGTCTGATTCATCGTGAATGTCATTTTCGTGGGATGTCAACGTCCCGTTTTGACATTTCAAGACTGACCGACTGTACATTCTAAATCCATCTTTTGGCTATGCTACATTGTGACTAAAAGGTCAAGCTGCGTCCTCTCGAATCTCGGGAATTTCCTTGCACCAGGCGGGGTCGTCACCGTGATCCTTGGTATACTTGTCGTGTTCAACAAGGACGTGCTTCCAGTAACTGCTGAGCTCGTGGGCCCTGACAGTGACGGGATGGTTGGGCTGGGCGCGACTGACTCGCTGCACGGCGATATCGGCCAAAGAATATCGTGATACGTCATTGAGACGAAGCATGGAGTATGGAGTGGTAGTCGATCCCTCCTCGATATACCCAAGTATGTCAAACTGCAATGCAGAGTCAGTATTGGTGTCGGCCAGAACAGAATAAGAACTTACTCTAGACCTTCCAACATGGGCCCTCCTCGAAAAGAGCAGGCCAGAGACGTCCTTGGGATAACCATGGAAATTGACAATGACAGGCTTGTCGGCAGTGAACAGACTGTCAAACATGTCCTGTGTGAGTGCGTGGGGATGCACGCCGGTCTGGCCCAAGATCAAGAGGTCGGTGACATTGACAACTCTGACCTTGATGCCCTCATTCCTCAGTAGGGCCGCCGCTGCGACCACTTCATAAGTGACCTCGACACCAGCGCCAACCAGCACAATGTCGGGATCAATACCATTGTCTGACGAAAAGCGTTCCCAGACAGAAGCACCCGCGATGCAGTGTCTCTCGGCCTATTGATTGAGTGGATCAGCAGGGCTACTTTGCATACTGCGACGTGCTCACCTCGTCGGGTGTCAGGAAGCTTTTAGTAGGGTTCTTGGACCCAATCACGAGGTTGATATCTAGAGTGCGTCAGCCCCCATCCACTGTATATTGACATTGCTCACTGTTCTTTGATCTCAAGCAGTGATCCACAACAGCCACGCTAGTGTTGGCGTCGGGGGGGAGATAGATTCTTGCAAGGTTTCGGGGCAAGGAGATGAATGAACCAATGAGGCCGGGGTTCTGGTGAGAGTACCCATTGTGTTCCTGTCGCCACAGGGTACTGGTCTCGATATAAGTCAGTCCAGCCACATCACCGCGCCACTTGGTCTCCAATGCCATCTTGATGAATTTGGCGTATTGCTAGAGACTGGTCAGCAACGTTCTCAAATTCGAAAGTCAACGCACCTCAATCATTGTCTGGACAATGCCAAGGAAACTCTCGTAGGACGGGAAAAGACCGTGTCTTCCGGTGAGAGTATAACCCTGGAGCCAACCTTGGAGTGTATGCTCCGAGAGCATCTCAATGACACGCCCGCCCTTGTTTGCAGTCTCTGGGTCCCATTGGAAGTTTCTCTGTGTGACCTTGAAAGCGGCATCAAGCTTGTTGCTGCTGATCTCGTCTGGCGAGAAGATTCGGAACTCTTTCGGATTCAGCTCGATGACCTTGGCCACATATTCGCCAACGCTTTGCAATTGTCAGACTACTTCCGGGTGTACGATTCACTACTCACGCTTTCATATTGGAGATTTCCTCGTCGATTGGATGGGTATAGTCTTTCCAAGAAGGTGTCTTGAGAGGTTTGAAATCGCGATAAGTGGCCTTGATGATGTTAGCCATGTCCGCTTTTGTGATTGCGCTTGACTCACGTTGACCATGCCCATCCTCCGCTCTTGGTCTTTTGGAATGATCCTGACAGCCTTGCTATCAATGATGCCTCGAGCTTTGTCGGCAGGGTTATGAGCACCAGAGTGGCTGTCATCCACATGAACGTGGAAGAGTTCATCTGGACCGTACGACTCGAGCCAGCTCTTGAGGAGGTCAAATTCCTCTCCCTTGGCGCCGGCACTCGGAAGGGGTACTGAGCGCCGAATGGTCAGGGATGGTGATGTTGACAATAGAGTAAGACATACCTTGGTGCGCTCTCCAATTGCCCTCAACCAGCTTGCCTTCCGCCTTTCGTGGCCCAGTCCACCCCTTGGGCGTTCTCATGACAATCATGGGCCACCTGGGCTTGACGATGGGCTTTCCACTTCGCGCAGCTGATTGAATTTTTTGGATTTCCTGGTACGCCCACTCCATGGCGACGGCCATGTCGTACTGCACGGCGACGTCGTGCTCATGATCAGAAGCTTCTTCGGGAGACTTGGAGCCGTACTCGACGATGTGAATTTGATATCCGTAGCCGGTGAAAAGGCAGGCAAGCTCCAGGTCGTCCATGGCGCCAGTGATGGTCCTCTCTCCAATCTTGTAGCCATTTGCATGAAGGATCGGGATCACGGCCCCACTCTCTGCAGGGTCGATGTACTGCGAGGTTGTCGTCAGCAACGAGCGTTCAAAGTGAGACGATTGACAGACCTTGTGTGCGTGCCAAGCTGTGGCGGTAGGGCCGGTCTCGCTTTCGCCGTCGCCTATCACAGCGACCGTAATATGGTTTGGCTTGTCCATCACGCTGATCCAATGTCAAATCGACGACACGGCGTCTCGCGAGAACTACTCACCTGCCATAGGCCACTGCAAGTCCGTAGCCAAGTTCGCCACCCTCGTGAAGAGCTCCAGGCGTCTCTGCGTTGACGTGACTGGGAAAGCCTCCGGGCATGCTAAAGGAGCGAATAAAGTATTCAAGACCCTCCCTTGACATGGGGTATTCTGGATAGAACCTATAAGCAAAGGTCAGCCCGAGTGACAAAGAAGACCTTGGTTCGGGCCCTACCTGGTGATAGATCCTTCCATAAACAGAGTGGCGAGTATAGCTGGTGCTCCGTGACCGGGCTGTAGCAGATGATCAGCGAGCGCTTGTGACGTGGCGGTGGGCACATACGCCAGTCAAAAACATGAATTCGGGGACATTCTCCTCTTCTTGGTGGTTGCTGATTAGCAGGTTGGTATGGGCGTAGACAAAGTTGAGCCCGGGACAAGTTCCCTGTATTCTCAGGTCAGAAATAGCGTCATCATTTTCTCATAAATCATTTACCCAGTGGCCAAGGAGCCTGTTCTTGACGTGGGATACCTCGAGAGGTTCAGAAAGAAGACCATTTGCGTGTAGAAAGATCTGCGCCGCCGCGCTATGGGCATGGTCAGGCTTAGCTGCAGCGCGACAAGGGAATAGGTAGACGCACATGTAGTTGGCAGCGCGCTGAAAGTACAGCAGCCCTTCGAGATCGAGGCCGCCCTGCTTCTTGGCTCTGAGCTGGTCGGCCTGGGAGTCGAGATTGACAAGGAGGCTGGCGACGATATCGTGTGGGAGGGAGGAGGGCTTTGGGGGGGTGACTGCGTCGAGGGTGGACATGGTGGATGGGGATGCATGATGCTGCCGTGGAGGGGTTATGTAGTCCATCCAATCTACAAATACGTCACACCTCCACCGCCGCCTCCACCCCCTTCCTATTCCTAATCCCATTAGCACATCGCCCACTTATCTATCCTAATCCCAGGGCCGTGCCTCGTCTCGAAATGTCTATTGTTCTCTCCCTGTCCTCGCTTTGTTGTTCTCGCCCTCAGCATCACTCCCAGTCTGCACAAACCATGGTAAGTGCATATGCGCCCCCAGTACCACATCACTGAGACTGTCCAGAGCTCAGCATACATTCCACTGTCGCAACGCAACACGTGGGCCGACATTCAGCCCATCCAGCAAGATGACGGTCCGGCCCCTGTTGTGCCCATCATGTACTCGGAAGAGTGTAAGCTTGACGAACCACTAGTTACTGGGCCATCTCTGATTTCATGCAGACAAGGACGCCATGGACTACTTTCGCGCAATCTCGGCGGCTGCTGAAAAGTCTGAAAGAGCCTTAGAGCTGACCGAGACCATAATCCGAATGAACCCGGCTCATTACACTGTCTGGTATGCAACTACTATTGTCATGGATGAATAAGCTCACAATCTATCAGGCAGTACCGCTTCGCGACTCTCATCGCTCTGAACAAATCTTTGGAAGAAGAGCTTCAATTGATGAATGAATTTGCGGTTCAGAACTTGAAGAGTTACCAGGTTTGGTAGGCGGAAATCTACATGTCTCTTACGTGACTGACATCCAGATAGGCATCATCGTCTGTTACTCTTGAGTGCCATCTCTCCAGAAGACCCCGCGTTCGAGATCGACTACATCCACCGTTCGCTCTTACCCGACCCCAAAAATTACCATACCTGGGCCTACCTTCATTGGCTATACTCCAACTTTTCTACTCTTGGGAAGATATCGGATGCTCAATGGAAGGAAGAGCTAGCCTGGTGTGAGGAGATGCTGCGCGTGGATGGGAGGAACAACAGCGCGTGGGGGTGGCGGTGGTTCTTGAGGGTCTCTCGACCTGGGGCCGACCTCTCTACGGGCGCTCAGAAAGACGAGCTCGAGTTAGTGGGCATCCTTATCGAGATTTGCTGTGCTGATCAATCCCACAGCTACGTGCTCAAAGCCATTCATCACATCCCGCACAACGTGTCTGCATGGAACTACTTGCGAGGTCTGCTCAAGTCACAGAGTCTTCCTCTCTCGTCTCTTCTTCCGTCTGTGGTTCCATACACCGGACGGGATAGTTTATCACCCGCAGAGCTCGAGACATACAGCTTCCCCGTTCCTTCAGATGTCCTCCCGAAGGACACGCCTCTACCTGTACCCCTTGCTTTGGAATATCTAGGCGACGCCCTGGCCGAGCAAGGCAAGCTCGACGAGGCAGGACAAGTATATGAAGATCTCAGTCTCAAGTATGATAGAATGAGGGCTGGCTATTGGGAGCTCAAGAGGCGCCAGTGTGCCGAGCAGTAGTCTTGCGCTTCTAGACATCGGATCCTCTTGATTCCTGTCACCCTGGACGTGGCTGCATGTAATCATACTGTACAAAACTTCACTCCATCTCTATATATGAGTGATACAAAATTTGAGCCAAACCCAGCCGAGCTATCCCCAAGCTTGAGTATTGCTGAGAGACAAGCATCTCAGTATCAGCCCGCGGGGAGAGAAGCCACACCTACCTGTAGTTGACGATCAAGTGTCCCTCAGTACCAAACGCCTTGTACAGGTTTCCCACAGTATCGTCAGGGGCTGGTGCAAACGCAGCGTTGATGTAGGTAAACTATGCAAGCATGTCAGCGGGTAGCATTGCAGAGGGAAACGATCGATACTAGAGAGTCTTCTTTCTTTGTGCCCAACTGCTGCCGCAGGAACATGATGACAGCCTGGAACTTGTGTCCTGCGGTAGCTTTGAAGACATTGTTCTTCATGATAGGCGCTGATCCTATAGACTTGAATCGGACGACGACTGGGGGTTAATGTCAGCTCGATGTGTACTAGTCGCTTACTCGCACTTGCCCTTCGCTGGATCCTTCTTCTTGTATTCATCCAGCGCATCTAGGGAGGCAGATTTGGAGTTTGCATGAGTGCCGACAGTACTGCTTTCTGTTGTGATACAGTGTCAGTGGTGAGAGCGAAGGGCAGCATTGACGACGTGCCTCCTGATGGCTCTTGTCTGTGCGAGAGGAAGCCTGAGCCGGAGGCCATGGTGATGAAGGGGTCGGCGTGCTTGTGCTGGGGTGTTTGCAGAGGAATATCGGGTTGAAACGGTGGGATGAAGAGAGGCCAGCAAGTGGCAGTAAACGATGAAAGAGGCCATGACCGGCGGTTGCGATTTGTTTGGACCCGGCCTTGCTTTTGCCGACGCGCACCATCTTGGATCTTTATTATCCTTGAACCTGAACGTCTGCATCCTCACTGCGGCCAGCTATACACCAGCCTCCCCATGTCCTCGCGTGCAGCCGTAGGTCTCGGGCACTCGCATGACGTCTTGCTGACTGCTACAGCACACTCCGCCTCGCACTCTCCCCGAGTTCCTGCAGCGACTCGCCCAGCTTCTGGCCATAGTTCTCGGGGTCTCTTCCGCTGGCTCAGCTATATGGTCCCTGTTCATCCTGCCCCTGCTCCATGCCTCTTTCTCGGCTAGGAAAGCGCTTGTCGACCAACAAAGCGACCGCGCCATCGATATAACCCGAGCCCTGAGTAAAATCAGGTCTCTGTCCATCTATGGGCAGCCGTCCCCTGCGGACACTCCCGCAGAAGGTGGAGAAGAGAAGGAGGTTGACGGGCCATTGGAGAAGACATCAGACGCTTCCCTGCAAGAGATTCACTCCTCGGCGGCATCCGAGTCCTCTCTAACCCGGGACAGCGGCGCAACCCCGGGTCAGGCTGTCTTCCCGCTCTCAAACCTGTCCACTCTCTCTTCTTCTCTGAGCAGACTCACCTCTGCTCTCGAGTCTACATCCACTACCCGTACTTCCCTCATATCCAATCTGGAATCCTACACGTCCCACCTACATCGCCAGCTGTTTGCAGCGCGGCCGTTGGGATCGAAAGGGTTTGGGGGCTATGCCGTTGGCATGGGCAGCCTTGACGCACATTTGAGGAATGAAGGAGAGGTTGAAAGTCGGGGAGAAGAATGGGATGCGGTGAGGAAAGATATCAGGGCAATCAAGGGGATGTTGCTCAATAGAAGGACATCCACGCCCATAGTCGGTGCCAATAGGTCATGACACGCCCGCGCATATCGCTGTTATGCAGTAGACCAAGGATGTATGATACATGTAAGGGGAATACAATTCTACAACTTTCAATCTTACAACTCAATACCCGTTACCCTTTCCAAAGGCAGCGCCCATGGCTCGACCACTCCAGCCCACCCCTGCGCCTGCCTTGGCGCTCACGGCTCTCAGTCCATCTTTCGCCTGTTCCAGATACCCCAATCTGGCACTTGCCGGGGACAGACCTCGGCGCATACTATTCCCGCTGATGTTCTCATCGGTGGGACGCGAAGGTAATGTCGAGCCTTGTGCGATAGCAGTCGCAGGAGTTGCAGTCGTCAGCGGTGCCGGGGGAGGAGAGGTCAGGCGCATGGGGTGAGAAGGTGGCGAAGTCGGAGAGAATAGATCGACGGGGGAAGCAGGCTCAACGAGAATCTGAAAGCGAATTGGATCAGTATCTGTCGGTAGACTTGTATATGACACGCACCCGATATGGCACGCTAGCATCCTGGGGAACGTCAGTGATTCTTTCGTAACCCGCCATCTCATACGTACGGACGAGCCAGTCAAGGGCGGCACCTGATCCTTATGCTGCAGACAGTACGTTGCGATTTGCATTAGCGCGCTGAAAAGCGGACTGGCCGATGGCTTTGAGGTCTGGAAACTAAGTGTTATGAGGTGTTCTTCCCAAGGTATGAGCTCCTGCGTGAGGTCAGAGACAGGGTCATGGACAAAAAACGTGGACATACCTCTGTCACAGCAAACCAACCCTTCTTGGCTTTACTTCGCAGGAAAACCAGAGCCATTTCTCCCTGAGATTCTCCGCTTTCGAGGTATCGCAACGCAAAGTCCTCGATGCTGCTGGCAATGTCCTTTTGCATAGACGGGGTTGTCGAGCATGACTGTGAAAGTTCAGTAAGCGAGAGCCGGTGGCGCAAGAGAGGGCTATTCACTATGTGAGAATCCAGCAGCTCGAATGTCTCTGCTTCTACAGCATCTAGGCTTCTGTGGAAGAAGATGGCAAGCAGTAGACCTCGCAGTACTCCTCGCACTTGCGACGGGTCGACAGTCTGGTGGGGTCAGCGATTGGACTGATATACGGGTATACTTGCCAATTTTATATGGTTGACTTGATCCATGTTGCTTTGAGGAGACTTTTGTGCTAGTGCATGGGGGTTAATGAGTGGCGAGTGGGTCGTCTGGAAGATGTGACAACAAATGACAACAATCATCAGACATGGAGGTCGGCGATAAGCGCTAGTTAAGAGCCGTCCCTCCACTTTTGGCGTCCATCCGCCGTGGTAACATCTCTTCTCTTGACTATGATTCAATCTCGCCCTGCCGAAATCCGAGCATTCGTTCAACATTGACCGCCAGCTATCGGAAGAAAATCATCACACCTTTTGCATCCCCAAGCTCCGCTCTTCATATATCGGTAATCATGAAGAATCCGACCCTGAAACATGTAAGCCCGGCGACAAATGCGCAAGCAAGACTAACCGCTTGTGTCTCAGTTCATCATGAGAGCAGAGTTGCTTCACGCTTATAGAGGCGCAGTGCGGTCTACTCGACGTATGTGATTGGGAAAGACGCATGTCAGCTGCTCATGTTTTCGGCAGCCATACCAGATCCCCATACGAGGAGAGAAACCATAGACTTTCTGCGTGCCGATCTTGAAAGACTACGGTTCGAGTACAGTCTTGTAGGAATCATTGATCCTGAGAGGTATCGAAGCTAATCATGGTGGTTTAGGAAGTTTTGGAAGCTCACTTGACGTCCTTCAAAAGACTGGTGAAACAAATGGCGCCCAGTTTTTCATTTTCAGGCCTACATGGGAGTGGTACCAAACTCCTTGGACAAAGACGATCTCAGCAATCTCCTCTGAGTGCCCTTTCCAGCAGATAGCCAGAGCGCCTTGCCATTGGAAAGTATTTGAGTTTGTACCTTTTCCATCATAACGGCGACGATCTTGCGGAGCGCTTTTCATGCTACATTTCGCCGTATAGTCCGTGTCAGCTCTACATAGGCCTAAGAGCAGTAGCTTATATTTGAGCCTAAGCAGCACTATCAAAGAGGCCCACTAGCAGATGGCGCTTCATCGGAAACAGGCTTTTCAGGATCGACCTATGTCCTCGCTACAGATACAATCTTATATTCTGCATTTTTTTTGGAGCGCGATGCGAAGACTGCTTGGAGTCCTTACCTATGATGGGTCATATCAATCATCTAATTGGAGCTATGGCTGCTAGCCTCGCCTTGAGACCGTCTTACTCGTTTGTATGCGCTGCAAGATTGAGCTTGGATATTTGCGTGGGACTAGACATGGCTTGCAATGAGCTCGACTTCCAATATTGCCAAGGTGACTTGATATCACCCGCCCATGAGGTCATTATGAGACTTGAGCGAGATGACCTTTGGATTCTCATAAGGCAATATGTGACTTGATGCAAACAACGCGCACCATCTTCCCCACCAGCAGCCTGCTATCAATTCTGGACGTGATCATCCCAGCCCGGCGGGCAGCATGTGCCCCTCATGGCCCATGAGACACGCGTTCACAATGTCTGTACTGCAGTCAATCGTGGACTACATTCGCTCAGCTGTTGTACTCCGTACATCTGTTAGTGATTATGTCCCGACATGGTTCTCCTTTTCCTCAGCCTGCTGTCATGGTTGCAGGGTCGGTCGAATAGATAATGATATCGTCCAGGTAGCAGGTTACCGTAACGTCCAGGATACCTCGGAGAACGTGGTTCATGAGACGCTGACAGGCTGATGGGGCATTAGTCAGACCAAAGGGAACCACCAAACACTCGAAAAGACCATAACGTGTGCGAAACGCCGTCTTCCATTCATCCCCTTCTCTGACCCGCAAAAGGTTGTATGCTCCTCGCAGGTCGAGAGTGGTGAAGAGCTTAGCGGAAGCGAGTCGGTCGAGGGTTTCGCTGATCAGGGGCAGTATCGGTCTTTGATCTTTGTTCCCAAGATGGACGGTACTGTGCCATGACTATCGGGGTCTCAACGCCATCACCAACCAACTACACAGATGACCCTATAACCATGACACCTGCCTATCATCACGACCAGCTGACTACGTTGGACAAACTTCTGAGTTCAGCCAAGTACTTCATTTTGAGATACTCATACTTACTGCTGCTCCTGTGCAGATTCCCAGCATGTCATTATTGTTTGATATCCACAGTCTTCTCGAGGAGGTGGTGAACGAAATAAAACTAAGATGACTAATTTCTTCTGCTCATTTGGTGGAAGGACGATGAAGTGGCTTTGTCCCAACAGGAAGGTGATTCATGAATCTTTAGCGTTACACCTTTTGTGGACAGCTTGATCCCACAGTATCTAGCCAATATTGAGATAATCCATTATATTCAAGCATGGTCGGTCTTATGTCTTGTTGCCTGAGCATCGACATCGCATAACTGTAGCAGTAGTACAAGATGAGTTATGTGAGTGGGAGCCTATAGAGAATGTTGTTCTGGACGGCAATTCCGATATCAGCCTTTGCTGCTTGACCCGTTAAACTGATAATGAAATGATTGATGTCTGTTGAAACAAGAGAGCCACATACCCATCCTGAAGCATAAGGAGTCTGATGAAGCCATCGATTTCATAGCTATCATCTTCTCAGCAGCAAGATTGAGAATCTATTCCCGGTATTAAGCAGAAGCCGTTGCCACACTTCCGACTAGAGCTCATGTTCGCATGTAGACAGAAATGGCCCAGTTTCAAGAGTGAATCAATTCGGAACCAAGTTACATATATGCTAGTTCTGAACCAACAACAAGTACCCGAAGGGCTGCTTAAGAGAAGGCGTGGTGTGGGTTCTTTCGGATCGGATTGTCCGGTATTCATTCGATAAGCATTGTGAATAGAACACTTATTACCGCTGTTCTATGCTTATATGTATGCCGCACCTTGGTTCATCACAAGCGACATACACCGCCTCAAACCTGGTCATCGAGCAGTGAGCTCCAGGGCAAAGTTTCGGCATTAACCCCAGAACTTTTGGAATGTGCGGGACTTTACCTCAGCTCAGTCGATGCACTAATATCTGTCATGGTGAGGCGTAGCGATCATATAGCGGCGTCAGCAATCAAATACATACGCCAAAAAAGGCCGGACTTCGGTGTCTACTTTACAAGGGACTACGCACAACATATTGTGACACTGCTAAATGTGGCTCATGGGCCTAGTTAGATTATGCCGATGGATCTCGACCCAAGCCATCGACAGTCTCATAAAGACTAGAGAGAGAAAGCAAAACAAAGCAGAGCACAAAATGTATAGCATTGATGCACGGCAAGCCGAGATTGATCCAAGAATAAGCCGCGGCACCGCCCGCCAGGCACACGGATAAGAGGTGGATCTTGTCGCGGTGGCGGCATGACGTTGGAGCGGTGTCGCACTAGGGCAGAACCCTACGTCCTTGCATGTCTTGCTGGCTGCGCGCTGCTTGGCCCTCTACGCTCATACTCATACACACATGGTGGAAAACGCCCTCCTGGGCCTCCTGTTTCGTGCATCTCTTGGGCTTCCTGGAGGCTTCTCGGCATAACGAGAGGTAGATCCGCGGGACGATTTGGCACGGCTCCAAGCCTCCAATTGCCGCTCCGATGGTGTCAGGTGATACCCTCTTCTGGATGTTGATCTTCAAGAACTTTGATCAGCTGCATCAGCTGTTTATCTTGGAAAGTTTAGAGTTTAGCGTCTTATGGTTGGTACTATGAGTGGCCACATAATTCACGGGTATGTCAAGGACATGCTGCCAGCTGCAGGAGCTGCATGCGGCACATGCGAGCTGTCTCGTCTTGGAAGTCTTCATGGGAGGCAAGGGGCCAAGAGAACGAGGCAGCAGGCAGCAGCAATCGGAGGGCCTGCCTCCTTGACCTGCAGGGCCATGATGATCGGAAAGAGCTCGAGAGTGACACCACGCCATCGCCTGTATTCTATAGCGCAGTCGCACGTTGTATCATGGGCATCATTATTAACCGGCCACCGGAAACGATGATGTACAAATATGGAAGAAAAAGAAGCGAATGATTTTGAGAAACAGTACGTGATGATGCTGTTACGGTAGGCGAGTGGCGGGGCGGGACGCCCAACAGCCAAGCGCGTATGGACTGCGACTGCGACCAAGCTGGAAGAAGGCCCGAAGGTTATAGCCAAGTTTATGGCTCATTGGTTTGGGCTCCTCGAGGCATATAGTTTGACAAGTGCAGGCCACAGTGCCGCAATGGCCGAATGCGTCCAGCCCAGGGCTGCGATCAGAGTCTCATGCAACATGACCCTCGAGGCTCGGGAGGCTATGTCTTGACTGGTGGAGCCTGATGATGGAATGCTCCTGATTCCGTGACATTTCTATGGCTATAACGGTCGCATATACGAGATCTCATATGCGATAGGATTCGCGTTTGCCTACAACAAGCTAGTGTCGGGAGCCCTCGATAAAGTTCCACAGGAAAACTAATCTGCTATGCATCATCGTGAACAGTATGCCGGCTATCAGATGCCCCCACCCATATATCGTCATTGCTCGCGCACAGATATACATAAGCACGCTCTGCATCCATGCCCCCTGCACCACCCTGTGCACGACGCGACAGACACAGACAGCACCACCTGACAACGCACCTATCGACCATCAACCACACTCGAGCGCACGAGCTGTTCCTGCAGAGTGACCATACGCACGGCAGTCACCCTCTCGTACCCGTCGCAGAGGAGAGCATAGAAGAGAGATATCCCAACAGTAGAAACGCGAGGTCAGTCACCCGGGATGGCCTGGAACGCGTGCCCTCCTTTCTGGCATGACGTGCGCTAACTGCTCAGACAGTTTCACCATCCCCCTATAGCTTATAAGTTATAACCCACCTGTGCCATTTCTATCTCCATTTCTCATCCACATCCTAACTCCCACCCACCACCACTCCTCCCTCTCCCTCTCTCCCCCTCCCCCTCACCGCCCTCATCATGTTATTCTTAACCACACTCCTTGCCCTGCCCCTCGTAGCCAACGCACTCCCTGCCCCCGCCGCCAGCCCAGCCGTCGAGAAGAGGTCCGTCAATTTGGGATGGGATTATGGCGAGGAGAAAGTGCGAGGCGTCAATATTGGGGGTGTGAGTTGCCCCGCAAGGGCCCCGGATAAGTTGCTAACAATGCGCCGCAGTGGTTGGTCATCGAGCCGTTCATAACACCATCCATCTTTGAATCGACTGGGAATGAAGACATCATCGACGAGTACACTTTCTGCCAATACCAAGACTACGATACTGCACAGAGTGCCCTGCAAAATCACTGGGACACGTGGTTCACCGAGGACGACTTTGCAAAGATTGCAGGTGAGAGATCCCTTGATGTGTGATACACGCATCCCCCCACTTACGCGACCTCAGCTGCTGGCTTGAATCACGTCCGCATCCCGATCGGCTACTGGGCATACGACGTACAAGGCGACGAGCCTTACATACAAGGTGCCGCCGACTATCTCGACAAGGCGATCGGATGGGCGGGCAACCACGGTCTGAAAGTGTTGGTGGACTTGCACGGCGTTCCTGGCAGTCAAAACGGATACGATAACTCGGGACAGAGGGGAGATGCTCTTTGGTGAGTTTTGTCTAATTCGCTTTGCGAACACGCTAATTGTGCACCAGGGCAACCGATTCCAACAACGTTGAGCGGGCCAAGAATGTCGTTGCCACTCTTGCTACAAAATACTCTGACCCCCAATATTACGGTGTGGTTACTGCTATCGCCTTGCTGAACGGTAAGTCCGACCTTGAGGATGAGAGTATACCTGACACCTTTCTTACAGAGCCCGCCACCTACTTGAACGACGAACTCCTCTCCACCACTCGTCAATACTGGTATGATGCCTATGTTGTTGCGAGGTACCCCTTTGGCAACAGCGATAAATCTGGCTTAGCTATCGTCATCCACGATGGCTTCCAAGATCCCTCTACTTACAACAACTACATGACGGAGCCCGACTATGAGGACGTTATCTTGGACACCCACAACTACCAAGTCTTTAACGACGAGTATGTGGCTTGGGACTGGGACCAGCACATCTCTGTGAGTTCGTTGAAAGTGTATTGATATTGAGCTGACTGGTCATAGGGTGTCTGCGACAAGGCCAGCACTTACTCTGCCGCCGACCTTTGGCTCATTGTTGGCGAGTGGTCTTTGGCGAGTACTGATTGGTGAGTAAACTGTGATCATCGACGGAGCCAAGCTAATAGCCTCGGCAGCGCCAAGTACCTCAACGGCCGTGGCATCGGTGCTCGATACGACGGCTCCTACTCTGGCTCTAGCTACGTTGGCGACTGCTCTGACAAGTCCAACGACGTCTCTCAGTACTCTTCGTTAGTAATCCACTGATTCATTCAACCACCGCTCACACTCGCACAGCGAATACAAGGCCTTTATGCGCAAGTACTGGGACGTCCAGACTCAGCTGTACGAGGCCAACGGCCAGGGCTGGATTCATTGGACTTGGAAGACTGAAGATGCCGCTGACTGGGGTTACGAGGCTGGTATTGATGGTGGATGGATCCCCGCCGACGCGTGGTACCACGACAGCCCGCTTTCATCTTACTGTGGTTAGATGGACGGTTACGTGAATACCCCAAGGTGATTCTATACACCTATAAACCTTGTATACCCCCAAGATACGGGACAGTGTTCCCTCCGGACTTTATGATTACCATAAGCTTGTAGGAAGAAAGTAGCTAGTCAGAAGAAACCCGCCTAATACCAAAGCATGGAGTCAAATGCATTTATCCTCACCATCCCTTGTACCAAGACGTGGTGGTGACAGCGCCAGGAGCTGTACAGACCCATGATTGCGGGTTGGAATAGATGAACCCCTCCTCGCTCGAGGCAAGGAATCCTTCTGACACCCGGGGCGTGCCTATCGGGTGGTCTCCAATTTGGTCAGCGGGGGGGAGTGAGGTGAACGTGATGGAACGGGCGAGTGGCTGGGGGAAGAGTATGGCGGAGCGGTGCATGAACTTTGACGCGTCAGTCGATATACTCGCATGGCTTGGACAAACTCACTTGCACGGTCTGCCCTTCCAGTAGCGGCTCTTCCGTATCAAGCGACATGGCGCCTCTTCCGGGATCTCCACTGACAATGCGCGTCACCCTCTTGATTTCGCCCCCTTCGAGGAAGCCCAGGAAGAATTCTTCCTCTTTCGTGAGACCAGTCCCACCTCGCTGCTGGATAGCGCTGATGAGGAGTTGCGTAGGGTTGCTATTGATGCCGTCGATAGCAAGGAGCATGTTGCCGCGGGCGCTGGGCTCTGTGTTAGTCGACGGCCTGTCGTAACAAAGAGGGCTCACGAAGTGATGGTGACGGGTTCTACCATGGCAGACAGCCCAAAGTCTGTCTTGGTGGTAGGATTGCTGTTGATAGCTAGACCAATTGTGCCCGACTGGAGGATCTCCTTGTTGTACAAGAGAGTATGGGGACGGTTCGTGATGAATGGTGTAGGCGCAGTGAGCAAGCCCGTCTGTGATCTCGTCAGTTCTCCTCGTGGTGACGACTAGCGACATACTTTGCTAGCGGCTGGGAACATGCTATCGAGAGCACTCAGTACAGGTGCAGGCCGAGAATCGCTGAGCAGCAAGAAACTATCCGCCTGCACGCCTTCCAAACCTGCAATCTTGTCCACATTGGTCTCCCCTTTCCATATACTCTCCCAGCCCTGACCGAAAGTTCCCTCGACATCACTCTGCGTGCTCCCTCTGAGATCTTCGGATCTGGTCTCGCGCTGGCGCTCTGGTCTCTGAAACCGGCCTACTTCTGCCGGTGCGCGGCCAGAAAGCTCCGATTTGAATAGTGTGATGTCGGCATCCCAGAAGGTTGCAAGGGACAGAGTAGGCTCGGACCCTGGCGGAGAGACACAGAATGATCCTATCGACTGCGGTGATATGCCTTGGACAGCTGCGAGCTGGGCGGGGAGGTCGGGCAGAGAGGTGGAGAGGAGAAAGACAGAGGTCGAGTCGGGAGGTGCGGGGTGGCTGGCGAGGTGGTCGCGCAGGAAGGCCGGGGTGGGAGAGTAGAATGTGTGGGCAGTGGTATGTATGCCCCGTCTTGGTGCGCGCAGGAGAAGTCTGGTGAGCATGGTGTGGATGGGCGACCGAGATGGCGATGGAAATTCAAGATGGAGAGGCAGAGTGGAGGCGGGGTGGAGGCAGCACGTGGCAGCATCCCTCGCTCTGCCCTCCTGGCTCTTGCCTGGCTCGTCCTCTCTCCACCACTGCATCCCTCGCCACCCTGCCGCTGCCCGTTGATGCCGCAGCCCGCCGTATAAAGCACACCGCGTCTCCCACCAGACGCCCGCCATCCACCATGCTGTTCCTGCCAGCACTCCTAGGAGTGCTCATATCCCCCCTGGCCGCCCTCGCAGCAGACCCACAGGTCACCGTCAACCGCATAGAGAACCTCCCAAACAGACTCTTCTACTTTGACGACACCCCTGTCAGTAACATCCCTACCAGGAGGCATCGCGCTGACTTGACCGCAGGTGGTCATGTACCATGATCCCGCGATGCTCACCGTCCATCGCTCAGAAGATGAAGGCAAGACGTGGGAGCAGATAACCGGTCCTATAGAGGGCGAAGCCATTCGTCTCGTCGAGCACCCCCACAACAACGAAATGGCCTTCATCATCGGCCGCTATACCACCCACTGGGTCACCTACAATCGCGGAGCCACTTGGCAATCCTTTGTCACCCCTCGTGACGCAAGCCTCGGTGGCAAGACCCTCACATTCCACTCTGGACATGACGACTGGATACTGTTTCAGGGCGTCGCGTGCGAGAGCGGAGGCTTTGGGAAATGGGGAGGCAAGACGTGCTGGGATGAGACATTCTACACGACTGACGCGTTCCGATCTGACCCACAACTCCTTCTCAGTCAAACGTCCCAATGTATATTCGCTCGCTCCTCCGAAGCCTTCGTCTCGGCCCCTGAAAAGCTCATCTTTTGCGTGGCCTTTGACCAGAGCCAAAAGCCGGGGAGCGGGGGGATGCACAGTATCAAGGAGAGCAGGCTATACTCTTCCGAAGACTGGTTTGAGAACAAAAAGTTTGTCGACCTGGGTATTGGAAAGAGGGCGAGAGGTGTCGTTGGACTCGGGGTCGTTTCCAAATTCATGGTCGTCGCTCTGAATGTTGCCGATATGGGAACCAAAAGGGCAGGTGGCGGTGACCCCATGTGAGTTGTACTTGTTTCCTTGTATCATATCTGACTCTTGATAGGGCACTCTATGTCTCTACAGATGGTCTCGAATGGCGACAGACCCAGTTCCCACACTCTGCACTCCCCGACCTCAAAGAGAACGCCTATACTATCGTCGAATCTACCACCCATTCCATTGCTGTCGATATTCTCACCTCTCCCTCCGCCAACATCGGCACCCTGTTTGTCTCCTCCGGCGAAGGCACTTACTTTGTGGAAGCTCTGGCGGACACCAATAGAAACGAGTATGGGATCGTCGACTTTGAAGGCCTAGTGGGTCTCGAAGGGGTAGGCATTGCAAATGTGGTCGCAAACAGGGAGGAGGTTGTGGGGTGGGGTGAACCCAAAAAGATCAAGAGCAAGATCACTTATGACGATGGATCCAGCTGGAAATTCTTGAGCCCGCCCGCCAAGAATTTGAATGGCGACGATTGGTCGTGTGATACCTCTGATCTAGTGAGTAGCCAAGCGAGTGGAGGGGACCATGCTGACAATGCTGCAGTCAAAATGTTCTCTCCATGTCCACTCTGTCTCGACGCCTCACAACATTGGTCGCGTCTTTTCTTCTACCGCTCCGGGCTACGTCATGGCCGTCGGCTCGGTCGGTGAAAGTCTACTTTCTTATGGTAAGCTCCATGCTGAACGACAGGTGACCCAGCTAATCTTCGACAGACGACTGTGATACCTTCCTGTCCACGGACGCTGGTTTAACTTGGCGTCAAGTGCAGGAAGGAGCGCACAAGTACGAGTTTGGTGACCAGGGAAGTGTGCTTGTCATTGTGGACGATGAGCAAGCTACAGACCACGTCCACTACTCTTATGACGGTGGAAACACCTGGTGAGTATCCCATACGCGATAGACACAACTGCTCATCCGCACCAGGACACAACTCGACCTGGGAGTCACCGTTCGCGGCCTCGTCCTCACTACCATTCCCGACTCGACCTCTCAAAAGTTTATCCTCCTCGGTACCCTCCCCCGTAAAGATTCAGGTGGCGGCCGGCACGCCATGATCCAGCTCGACTTTGCCCCACTGCAGACACGTCAGTGCACCGATGATGATTTCGAACGTTGGTACGCCCGCAGTGGCGAGGGAAACGAATGTCTCATGGGCCACAAGCAATGGTACCAACGCCGCAAGCTCGATGCGCCATGCTACGTCGGCCACAAATTTGAAGATCCCGTGGGGCACGAAGAGAATTGCGCCTGTACGGACGAAGACTACGAGTGCGATTTCAACTATGTCAGGCAAGATGGGGAATGTGTGGCTGTCGGCCCAGAACCAGTTCCTCCGGGTACTTGCAACAAGCCAGATGGCAAGTATCTGGGTTCGTCAGGATACAGAAAAATTCCTGGAAACACTTGTGAGAATCGCTCAGGTCAAGCCAAGGACAGTCCTATCAACAAGGCTTGCTCCGACGCCCGACCAGAGAGTGGCAGGCCCTCCCATGTCGTGCACGAATTCGAATCCGACATCATCTCGCACTCCTACTTTCCTCTGTCGCAGACTATCCTGATCCAACTGGCGGATTCTACGGTGTGGCAATCAAGCAACGAGGGCTTCTCTTGGAAGCAGCTCTATCCAGATGAGACTTTCTTGGCGGTGACCGTTCACCAGTACAGCCCCGAGAGAGCCTATCTGCTCACCAACACGCGCAAGATCTACTACACCACCGACACTGGGCGATCTTGGAACATTATGAATATCCCCAACGACCCCAACACGTTAGGTATCCCTATACTCAATTTCCACCCCACAAAACCCGATTGGATCATCTTTACTGGCTCTATCGACTGCGATGATGCGCTATCCACCTCATGCAGGGCTATCGCGCAATATTCGACAGATCATGGAAGGAGGTGGAGGAAGATTGACGAGTATGTCAGGATCTGTGCGTGGGCCAGAGATCAGAGGTTGAAAATTGATGAGCGGGAGATCATTTGCGAGAGCTACAAGAATAAGAAGGGGTCACAGATATCCGGAGACTACAATCCGATGGAGTTGATTGCTGGTGGCAGCTATTATTCAAAGAAGAACAAGGTCTTTGATTCTGTCGTCGGATTTGCGAGCTTTTCGGAATACCTTTTGGTGGCAAAGGTGAGTATTTCAATCTTCACACGGCACTGGCTAATCCTTCATTAGCTGAACGAAGATCAAGGAACCTTGTCGTTACAAGTGTCTTTGGATGGCTACCACTTCTCCGAGGGACAGTTCCCACCGAACATGAAGATTGAAAACCGAGTATGTACGCCTTCAAATCGCGTGACTTTTGCTGACTTTACATCAGGCTTATACCATCTTGGAGAGCAGTACCGATGCCGTCTTTTTGCATGTCACCATGCACTCCGGCCAGAACAAGGAGTGGGGAAGCATTTTCAAGTAAGATATATGTCTCTTCGCTTGGACAATGCTAACGTGCACTCTAGATCCAACTCGAACGGTACATACTATGGCCTCTCCCTCGATTACGTGAACAGAAACACGGCAGGCTATGTCGACTTTGAAAAGATGATCGGTCTTGATGGTATCGCGGTCGTCAATGTCGTCGTGCGTAATCCCTCTTGCATACTGCACGGAAGCTGATCCTTGTGGCAGAGCAACCCTTCAGAAGCCGACATATCTGGCCGGAAGAGTATTCAGAGCCGGATCACCCACAATGATGGTGGTAGCTGGAAGCCATTAAACCCTCCCGCAAAGGATTCACTAGGTCAAGAGTACTGGTGCCAATCTACCGTGAGTGACTTTTTCTCCCGTGAAGCATCTGGTTGATCCCACACAGTCTTGTTCCTTGCAAATACACGGCTACACTGAGCGCAGAGACCCCAAGGCCACTTATAGCAGTCCTTCTGCTGTTGGCGTGCGTACCATTTTGCCCATTGTGACGTCCGCGCTGATTTGAAGTAGCTCATGCTTGCTGTTGGAAATGTTGGCGAAGAGCTCGCCACATACACGGACTCTGACATCTTCCTCACTCGAGACGGTGGTTACTCTTGGGAAGAAGTCCACAAGGATGCCCATATGTGGGAATTTGGAGACTCTGGGTCTATAATTGTCCTTGTCAACGACGAAGAGGCCACCGACCACGTCTTGTATACCTTGGATGAGGGCCTGACTTGGCAAGAGTATGCTTTCGGGTCGCCATTGAGAGTCAAGACCATCCAAACTGTACCCGACGATACCTCCCGTCGATTCTTCCTCATTGGATCTTCGCCCTCAAACCCATCTTCGTCATACCTTGTCCATCTGGACTTTTCTGCCATCACACAGACCAAGTGTGAATTGAGCATCGAAGACCCTAACCACGATGACTTTGAGCTCTGGTCTCCAAGCGAAAGCCGAGAGGACCAGTGTCTGTTTGGTAGGCAGACAATGTATCACAGGAGAATCAGGGATAAGAACTGTTATGTCGGGGAGAGGGTTGTGCAACCGAACACTATTGTAAGGAACTGCACATGTACTGCTTCCGACTTTGAATGGTAAGCCGTCTCGATCCTTATAGGGCCGGGCGCTGATAATCCTCATCAGCGAGTTCAATTATCGTCGAGATGCCTCTGGCAATTGTGTTCTCGTAGACGGCGCTGTGGCCCTGTCTTCAAACACCGAGTACGAGCAGTGTGACGGGTATACCGACTTCTGGTATGAGCGAACCGAATACCGCAAAATCCCCTATTCTTCATGTGAAGGGGGCGAACGGCCAGATCGAGGACGTCGACACTCTTGTCCAGGTCTCATTGTGGGCGGAGTCCGACGCGGCGCCTTGTTCTGGGGATCCATCGCCATATTGCCATTCGCCATCGCCGGCTTGGCAGGATACCATTACTACAAGAAGGGCGACCAGCTCGGGTCCATCCGACTGGGCGACCATCGTGCTTTCGGGGGAAGCGGCGGAAGTTCAGATGGGTGGGTGGCTGTGGCTGCGAGCGTGCCGCTGTTCTTGGTGGGCGTGGCGCAGGAAGGGTGGGCGTGGGTGGTTGGCAAAGTGCCATTCTTGGATGATCTGGTCACGAGACGTTCAAACTATCGATCTGTACCGATTGATGAGGATGCGGAGATTCTGGGAAATTACGAAGACGAGTAGTTGATCAGAAGGCATAGATTAGGCAAAAGTGCTGTAAAATGCATGATACAAACATAGAAATTCCACTTGGACTGTCTCATTGTGGCTTTGCTGAAATCCATTCTTGATGTCTTTGCACCAGCTCTTTAACAATCAACTCTTCAATCTCGACCTCGCCATCCTTGCCACTTCCTCCGACAGACACACCAGCTTCCGCCGCACCCACTTGTATATCGTCCAGCTTGAGCCACGTCTCTTTGAATTGGTCATCTCTTGATCTTTCCAGCGGGGGTGTGGACGCTCCTGAGATGGAGTCGTCTCCTCGGATGGTGGAAGACAGAGGTTCGACAAATACGACTTCGTACTTGCGACGGTGAAGCTCGTTACCGATGACGAGCTGGTGACCATAGCGAGACAGGGCAGCGCGAGCCTTGGGTATTAGGAGCTCTGCCTCCGTTTCAAGCTATATACAAGCGTTAGAGCTTTATCCGATACGAGACGGAAAGACGCACCTTGAAGCTGACAATGTAACCCTCAGGCATCCACTCCTGCACCAAGGGCTTCAACACCTTTGGCACCTGGTCCATCTCCAACGACAACGTGCCCTTGCCGCTCTGAATCTTGTGCTCGGCAATCTTTTCGTCTGGCAAAAAGAAGTCTGACACTGCGGCGGCCAGGTAGAATAGCCCTCTGCGTCCCAAGGTCGCCATGATATCTGTCACACCTCGCAAGAGCCACAGATACTCGTTGATCGTTTGAAAGTCGATACTGAGCAGCGTTCCTTCGTCCTGGACCTTGTGGTAGGCCTGAAGGATAGGGAAGAGTTCTTGGGCGACGGATGGTGAGACGGCGATGGACTGTTCGTCGGGCTTGGTTGAAGATGGGACGAGGGAGAGGAAATCGAGGAAAGAGCGACGGGAGTGAGAGTAGTGCCGGGAGAAGGGCCGGAGGGAGTGTTGTCTGTGCATGAATATCACGGCATATCCCTGGGACAAAAAGTACTCTGCCGAGGTCGCCCCTCTGGTACCGGCTGAAAAGTTGTCGAGGAAACGAACACTCGAGGCTTCAAGTCAGCTTGCAGATCATCATGTCGGCAGCGATTACACACGTATTGGCCTCCAGGGGAACTGTGGTGCCGCCACTCTATGCGGGGTCAGTTGGCGTTGCAAGAGGGGGCCGTCACTCACGGTGACCAGGACGACCTTCTTGTCCTGAACAGCCAGCCACTTCTGGACGAACTGTAGGACGGCAGCCGTCTTCTCCTGTGTGCCATCCGGCTGCTGCTGGGTCTCAAAGTATGACTCTGTGGAGAATGTGGCAGGCATGGCGGGGCGGGTTGTCGCTGGCACTGTTGAGATGGACAGACGGACGCGTCGGTGGTGATACGACTCTACGAGTGACCTTTTGGTATTTCCCCATTGGGCAGCATCGGGGCTCCGGTGCGCGCATCTCCTCTTCCACCCGCCATGCATGCCCACAGCCCATGGTGTCTGGTTTGCTGCAGGGGGCGGGGTATGCATGCTGGAGGACATACCCGTCCCCGTCGCTCGCTGCTGCCGAATCGAGGTCCGCGGGAGCAGCGCGTCATCCAGAGATGGCTTCGCGAGACTTCCCACCGTTCTTGACTCTTGTGCATCCTCCATCCCATCCCTCGACCGCCGCCCCCGCCGTCCCGCCGCCCCCCCGCCCCTCAGCGTCCCCCAGTACAGCACAGCGTGACAGCGCTACGCTCCCCCACCCTACCGTCTGGGTCCTCATCCAAACCCAGCGACGAGTATATCTTGAACGTCTTCCGCCTTCAGCCCACATCGCCCCTCATGCCTATCGCAACCCTCCTCGTACAGTCCGGCTGTATGTTTGCTGCCAGCTTCATCGTCGGCAGCCTCCCATTATGGTTCAAGTCTGCAACATCTGGTGAGCTTCTTAGCATCCGCCTGACTCTTGCTCACTCCCCCAGGCCAACGCTTGCAGATCGTTTCGGTGCTTGGAATGGGCCTTCTCGTCGGAGCCGCACTCACCATCATTATACCAGAGTAGGTCTGGCCCTTGTATACGTGTTCCCAGTTGACGCGACAATCAGAGGAGTATCGACTCTCTATGCAGCTCTACCGCAAGATGGTCACGATGGCAATGAATCTGCTATTCACGCCACTGGAGTCAGTCTTCTGGCCGGGTTCTCTTTGATGCTCTTGCAAGTCCTGCCACTGGTCCCGCTGATCCCAAGCTGACCTATTCTAGAATCGAGAGTCTCATACCACATCCACCCAGCCCACCTCCCCAAGCCACAGACTTTACCTATGAATCACCCCCGAGCTCCCCTGCTTCCTCGGAGCCCACACCACGTCCTTCAGCGCAGCACCTCAATTCGTCAACCCCGATGATCTCCAAGCCAAAGCGCATGTCGGTGGACGACTCGGCGAGCGAAGGTGCTGCTACAGTCAGCGCGGTACACGGACTGAACGCTACATTGGGACTGGTCATACATGGCGCCGCAGATGGCATTGCCTTGGGTGCGAGCAGTCTGGCGTCTAGTAACAGCAGTCTCGGGCTTGTCGTGTTTCTCGCAGTCCTCATCCACAAAGGTGAGCATGGCTCGACTCGTATGCGACGCTCTCGTTTACCATATCCCACAGGACCAACTGCTCTGGGACTCACGACTACTCTCTTGTCTCTCTCCCTGCCCCTGTCGTCGATCAGGCGACGGCTCATGATCTTTTCGTGCGCTGCTCCTGCTGGCGCCATCGCTACATTCTTGCTTGTCAGCGCGTTCGGTTCTCGCAGCCTGGGCGGTAGTAGAAATGGAGGCGATCCTCTGGGCTGGTGGACTGGTATCGCCCTGCTCTTTTCTGTAGATACGCTATACGATACCCAACCGTTCAACGCTGATGACCCAATAGGGCGGATCTTTTCTCTATGTCGCTACCGTCATACAACCCATATCCTCGGCTACCGACTCCCATGCCCACAGCCACAGCCATCACCATCCCGAAAGCGGGCATGGCCCAGAACCGTCAGTCGAAGACCGTACACTGGGCAAGTACCAACGGACAGCACTGTTGATGGGCGGGATGATCCTGCCAGTGTTTTTGAGTTTGTTTGTAGAGCACTCGCATTCATAGGCAGGTGACGACGTGTGACAAGGGCGGAGCGTGAAAGAATGATCTCGAGAGACATCGAATGTACGAATGAGCCATCATCATAGAGCTTCATGCACAATCATAGTGCAGGTTTGGCGATACAATACATGCATTTCAAATGGTTTCGTGTGCACAGGCCATCCCAGATACGACCCGGAGAAAAAATAAAGCGACTCTGTACGATACAGGTAAATATAGACTATTAAAAACTGCGAAAAGAGCACTAACCAGCCAGGAGTTGATATAGAAAAAAGGAAAGAATAAAAACAGTTGCTTCTAATGCCCACTAATGCCTCTCGCCCCATTGCACACCGTCGAGCATTCCCATGCGATCCGTCCGCTCAAGGTCTCGCATACTCCTCATGAACCATCTACACATAACGTCAGCTGTAACTCTTTCGAAAGACACGTAAACTCACCCGTCCGTCTTGGTCCTGACACCTTCAAACACTGGCGGCTTGACCGCCGGAGGCTCAAGGATGGACGCATCATCGAGCTTTTCCTCGGCACCATACCCACCTGTGGCCTTGGACATCAAGCTCGTCAGGCCCTTCCTGACGCCACTGCCCTCCATCGGAGCCACCGAGTTGTCTGAGCCGCCCGTGCTCGGTCGGATCCTCTGGTTGAGCGGGGCGACGGACGAGAAGGAACCGAAAGACTTTTCATGCTGCCCGGACTCGGTCGTGTCGGACCCGATAGGCGAGCTGGGGAGTTCACCAACTTGATCCACTCCCCTGGCCGCATCCACATCAACCAGCAGACCCTTGTTGTGCTTGCTCATCCTGTTGAATTTGGAGAACGGGTTGACTGTCGGCCCTGAAGACTTTTCATTGTCGTAAGCTTCAATCTCTGCCGCCACGTCGGTGGGGACAAGCGGGTAAACCCTGTTGAGATCGGCACCAGTGGCCCTCGAGAACTCGTGGTACGCCCTCGCACGGAGGAGCATCGCCTGGGATTTAGCAAAGAGGGAGAAGGGCGTGTAGACGAATGGCGCAGGGGGCTTGTCGGTCTCGTGTCGGCCCGACAGGTTGGGCGCCTGAACACCGGAAGCACGGGACTGGACGGGTGTGAGACGGGCGTCGGGGGCAGGGAGAATGACCTCAATGACGACCATTTGCGCTGGCTCTTCGGCGTCGTTCTCCGACGCGGGGATCTCGAGGATCTCGGGGGAGAGGGTAGCGATCTGCAAGAGAGTCGGCCAGCATCGCAGGGCGGTGACGAGGGCTTCAATAGATACGGCGAGCGCGGCTTGGAATTCGTAAAGCTGCTCGTCGACCTGCGAGTTGAGTGACTGCCCGTCATCGGCAGACTCGGCAATAGCGACGGCTTGGTTACAGCGCTCGAGCAATTCGCCCATAGTACAGTTGGCCAGCTGGCGGATCCAGGCAATCATCGCAGGCGACATGGGGTATTGGACATCCGGCAGACGGTAGGCAGGGATTTGGTGACGGGCAAAGTTGTAGACCAAGACATCGAGATTCTCCCTCTCGCCGGTCGGTCGCACACCGAAAAGACCGAGATAGGCACCCTGGCTCTGCACGACGGGCCTCGTACCTCGCTTGGCATACGTCTTGCACGCCGAAAGAAAGACGTCCATCTCTTGCTTGGAGACACCAAAGTGGTCGGCCATGGCTTTACTGAAGAATCGGGTCTCAGCCATACGGTAACCGCGAGAAGAGTAGTGGTCGACATTGTCGACTGATCGCAGCTGGTTCTTATCGGCGTTGGGATTGTCCCACGCCGAGGGGTGGCCACTGCCGATTTCTCGGACAAGGAAGATCATGACACCTTCAGAGTTTCGCAGACGGAGGGTGACACCGTGGATCGAGCTCTCATCGTCGCCCTTGAGCCCGCCCTTGCCCTCCTCGGCAGACTTTTCCTTGTTGGGGTCGTCCGCCACAGGCGCTTGTGTTCCGGTAGTCAAGACACGGTCAAACATGTGGCCGAGGGATTCGACAGACAGGTCGAGCTGTTGCGCGAGCAAGACGGAAGCTTCAATGAATCGGCTTCGGAAGAGGAGCGTCTCCCACGAGTTGCTGGGCATGCCGCGTTCCATGGGGCTCGCACGTTGGACTTTGCCGCGAGATCGGTCAATGACGGAGCGGAGGATACGGGGAACGAAAGGAGTGACGACGGACCAGTTGAAGGAGAGCTGGTAGAGCCACTGGAACGTGGGCTGTCGGGGGTCGAGCTCTCGAAGCACGCGCTGTGAAACGTTTAGTTGTGTCAAAGTCTGGTTCGAGTGGACTCACCTGGAGGTCGGCATCGGTAGAGATGACCTGCATGGGAATGGTACCATCATTCTTGACCAAGAGCTTTCCGGTCTTGTCGAAAGAAGCACTGGCAACCACAATGTTTCTGGCCTTGTTTCGGATCGATCGACGAGTCAAGACGTCGAGCAGGGCGACCAGGAAACAAATAAGCAGGATGACACCGCACATGACAGAGATGGCGATGGCGAGTTTGATACTCTGACTACTGTTACGTACGAGCTGGTCGGCGTCCGTCTTGGTTGTGGTGCTGTATGAAGTACCACCGAGACCGAGGTAGTGCATACTGCAGATTGTTAGCTCTGGGCGTTGGTTTGGGCATGTGACTTACCCGCAGACGGCAGCAGCCAAGACGATGGCACAGAGACCACGCTTCCACCAAGAGTCTTGCCATTGTTCACGCAGACGGAAGAAGAGGAAGAGTGCGACGGTCGCGGCGAGGACGGCCAAGACGAATGCAAAGACGACGGTGACCGCCTGGGTCTGTCAGCCGTGCTCTGTAGATCGTGTAGAATGGCTTACAGTATACGACACGGACAAGTTGGGAAGCCTAAAGGAAGCCGAGTAGTGCATGAGACAAATCGTGCCGCCGGTGGTGACTGCAGAGTGTGAGCCGGACGTCCCGCACAAGTATTCTTTTACTCACTTCCCGAGACAATGACACGCCATACGGAGAATGCCAGCTGGGAACCAACGACCCAGAAAGACAAGGCTGTGGCGACCATCGGAACGAACAGAGACATTGTCGTCATACCAGGGTTGAACTATCGGTAGCGTCAGCACGAAGACTCTGCGTGGATCGTGTGACTTGCCTGGATATACCATGTAACGCTGGGAGAAGCCTTGAGCCGGATAGTTGTCATGGACAAGAAGTGCATAGACCAGACGGCGGTCGAACTTTTCTCATGGTCAGCATCGACCATGTGTGGGCGCGAGGGACGCACCTAAAGACGACGGCGGCGAGGAAGAGAAAGATGTGGTTTCTCCAGCCTCTGGAGCCGGTCCGCCTGCCTAGGACGAGGAGGGTGGCGTAGGATCCGAGGATGGAGACGATGACACTGGCGACGAGGGCGCCTGGCTGGGGGTGGATGGGGATGGCATGGGTCTGGTAGTACTGCATGAGACCATCCTGGTCTGTGGGGGGTGAGCAGTTGGAGGGGGAGCAAGGGGGGACCCTTACCATTCCAGATGCCCTCAGGCGGCCAGACCATTTTCATGAGCATGGTGAAGAGCAGAGATAGATTCTGGCTGCTATATCATCAGCATCCTCCCGATCAGAAACGTGATGGGACCTGATCATCCCCCCTCCCTCCCCCGTCGCGAGGCAACGGCAGCGGGACCTCTTCGGGGCGCACTCGCCACGGCCTGGGCTCACACTCCGAAAGGGGGGGGGGGCGATTTCGCAGAAGCATGGCAGGGGACAACGTACGGCAAGTATGTAAGTAGTAGAGCAGCCAATCCAGTTGGGTCAGTAGCGCGCAATATCGTCCTGCCTCAGGCAGTGCTTCTCTCCGGCGACGTGACGACGTGACGGCTTGACGGGCTTGACAGTGTCGGGCCTGGGGCAGCGTGCAGCGGTGCAAGATGTAGATGAACAAGTGAAAATGCACTTCGCCATTCATTGTCCGCCTCGGCCCCCAGCTTTGCAGCCCAGGATCAATCATGCAGGAACTCGAGATTGATCCTGCAGGCCATCCTCTAGTCCCGGGTAGCCTCCCTTAAGCCTTTCCCGAATACCCATAATCTACGCCCGCGGCCCAGCGAGTCAAATTCACGCACCCCCCGCGCCGGATGCCGAACGCGATAAAGAATGTCCAGGGTAAAGAAGGGCAGAGACAAGCTTAGATCGTCTAGTCCCAGTTCCTTGCTTCCAGTCCTTGCTTCATCTCCTTCTCCCTGGCCTGTTCTGCCTGCATCCTGCGGCGCGCTGATAGGAAGTTACGCGCCCAGAACCTGTCTAGATACGAGGCTGAACGCGCCATGCAGGGTCTATGTAAGACTATCAGTGCATACTGGGCATGAACTCAATCTTGTCTAATTCAGAGATCTGGCCGGTCGTCATTCCAGTCTCATCTTCCACCTTCTTTCTTGTGGAATCTTTGACCCGCCTGTGCCCGTTGTACCCGTGCCGCCACGCCCCGGCCCCATGCCCCTCTCCCGTCAGTTCTTCCGCCTTCCCACTCCGCGGAACCTGGCAAAACCTTCCCAAAAATCTAAGCCCCCCGATTGGATAATGGGGCAGATGCTATGAAGGGGTCTGCGGGAAAAAGGGTCGATTGACCCGATCGTAATCAACGGGAACAGACTTTGCGACAGAAATTTCGAGATAAATTGGTGTCCATTTTTACAGCGCATCTTTATTTCCATGGAGGCCACAATAAGCCGTGGAGTGGTTACTGGCTATGTACAAAGGTGGAGATATGTACTGAGGCCATTTCATACAACATGCGATGCCCAAGGGCATGAAGGGGTATCAGCGCAGGAGAGGTACGGGGGTCATGCGTCGAGGACCTTGGACCTTGAACCACCGGAAAAAATATATAGACGAAAACTCTGAACTTTGAGAAGCGTTACTGGGGATTGGATTCCGGGCCTTCACCGCAGCGTCAGTGCGTCACTCAACATTCTCGTCGTGAGCAATACAATAGAGGTCGAAATGCACTCGTCGTGAATCAATCAAGATATACATATATACATCAGCCATTCTACCTCTGACAACAGTGCACCTAATGCCCACCAACGCCCAGCCCGGTACTCGCGCTCCCTCCAGTGCTCATCGCCACACTCGCCGGCCCGCCTGTCGACACCGCCCCCGGATGACCTCGAGCTGTCAGCCCTGCCGAGGGATTAGGTGTCCCTGCAACAGAAGGCGTCGTAGCCGTCGCCTTTGTCGTCCTGATCTGGAATGTACCTGTGAAGAAGGTCAGCACGTCGACCATGTAGAGAAGCCGGACGGACATTGAGGGAGGCCAGAGGATTCGGCAGTGACGATGGAATGCATGCCGAGCCTGGTCAATGCACCCTGCAAGAGCGCTTGTGGGAAGAGCAAATGCTACGCTTCATCAGCTCCAGTGCAGTGCATGAAACTGCCTGGACAAGCCACAACTTACCGTCTTGGCAGTCTCCATGTCGGCCGCTGCACCTCGGTAGCTCGACAGCCCAGCGAGCGGGGGGAAAGAATGGGATTGCAAGACGTATACCCCTCGATGGTTTGTCCGCAGATTGTCGATCTGTTTCGAGTAGACATAGAGAAAGAGCTCCTTGCACACAAACTTGATGATATCCAAATGACTTGCCAGAGGCGGTCTTGCCAACGTAAGCCTGCGCCCCCAGTCAGCTCTCGAGCACAGGCAGAGGGTCCAAGCAAGCGCACTTTTCAGCAATAAGGCCCCCAGCCATGAGCCCTATCCGTTCAATTCGCTTTGCCAGCTCCTCCTCAATCACCGTCTCTTCATCCTCATTCTGCGTTCGGGGCGGCAGCAGCCCCTCGCTCCGGAGTTCCTCCTCCTGCACCCGTCGCTTCCTGACCACGTGCGTTGAGGACTGCCGCAGGAGGTCGAGGACGGGGGGCAGGAGATAGGCTGGTAGCTGTGCGTCGATGAGGGCGGGGGCAGGGTTTGCGAGCTGGTGGAGGGCGGGAGGAATGGTGGGGGCGATTGGGAGGTGGGTGGTGGAGACGGAGGAGGGGCGGGACATGGCGAGGTCGTTGGACATGCTACATACTTGTACTGCAGTGCGTGGTATACGTGACGCGGTGGCGGCGGTGTCCGCCTCGAGTCGGATCCGGCGTAGAACGAGGATCGACGATACAATTGCATCTCATCTCCATCTTTCTCTGCATAGGCACCCAAACACTCCCCTATTCTTCTTGAAGGTCCAGTAACGTTTTGTACTATACACAATGGGTACGTCCTCCCTCCTCCTGCCGTCGCCACAGCTCACCGTCCTTTCCAGGTATCCCCAAAGTGGGTAACTCGTCGCCACCTTGGCCACTGCTAATGCCTCTCGCAGTTCTTCAGGTGGATCTCGGAGAGGTATCCTTTGACCTCCCAGCTGATCACTCCCAACTCCATTCCCACTTTCGACAATCTTTAGTGAGTCCCGATCAATGTCTGTAGTAGCCAGGCAGCTAACATCATCATTCACAGCTTGGACATGGTTCGTCCCATCTACTATCTCTGGACTTGAAACTGATGCTCTACGCAGAATGGTATCATTCACAATTGCTCCCACCCTCCCTCTTCGGAAAATGACCCCCATTTCCGTATAACGGAAGAACAAATGATCATTGCTATTTTCGCGTATATCGACCACCTATTCACCAAAATCAAACCCCAGAAAGTATTCTTCATGGCCATCGACGGCTGTGCGCCTCGAGCCAAGATGAACCAGCAGCGTAGTCGACGATTCCGAACGGCGCGGGACGCCAGGGAGCAGCGGCTCCAGGCAGAGAAGAATGGTGAAAAGCTCCCAGAGGAAAAGGCTTTCGACTCGAATGCCATTACGCCCGGTACGCCATTCATGGCGAGGCTCTCTGAGCACTTGAAGTATTACGTTAGAAAGAGAATATCTGAAGACGCCGACTGGCGAAACATCAAGGTCATCTTTAGTGGACATGATGTACGTGTGGATCCCAACTTTGATTCGTGCCGTACTCACACTGTACAGGTTCCCGGAGAAGGCGAACACAAGATTCAAGAGTTTATTCGATTGAACAAGGCTCAGCCAGACTACAACCCAAACACTAGGCATTGTCTTTACGGGCTCGATGCCGATTTGATCATGTTGGGCCTTTTGAGCCACGACCCCCACTTTTGTTTGCTGCGTGAGGAAGTTGTCTTTGGCCGCAAGTCCAAGAAGAACACCGAGTGAGTGTTTTATCGACCGTTTGTAGCATGCTAATTTGTAGGCTCGCAAACGCAAACTTTTTCCTTCTCCATATCTCTCTTCTGAGAGAGTACCTCAACCTAGAGTTCTCGTCGCTCCAGCACGAGATCCCATTCGAGTACGACTTGGAGCGTATCATTGATGATTTCATTTTGATGGCCATCTTTGTCGGAAACGACTTCTTGCCTCATTTGCCCGACCAGCACATCAACGAAGGTGCGCTGGAAAGGATCTGGGGATACTACAAGGAATTGTTGCCCACTATTGGTAAGCGCCTTGTCTTTCGCTCCAGTTCAAAACTCATTCTCTCGTAGATGGGTACCTCAACGAGCACGGGACAATCTCTTTGCCCAGGTTGCAGCTCTTGCTTGATAAACTCGCCGCGTACGAGACCAAGAAATTCGAAGAAGACCTCCAAGGTCAAGTGCATTACTCTGGTAATCATACCAAAGACACTGTTGCTATAGAAAAGGCACGAAAGAAGGGAAAGAAGGGCAAGTCCTTTGGCGCTTTGCAAGTATGGGGGCTGATACAGAACAGTGATTACAAAGTACCAGAAAAAGGTTCTCGACCAAATTCGCACATTCGTGCAACAACATCAAAAGAAATCAACCGATACCAAACGCTTCGCTTTGGTAGACACCAAGGACCAGCGTGACAACGCCTTCATCCAAGAAATTGGTGACGAGCTACACCTGCGCGTGACTTGGGATGAAGTCGACGACTATGGACAAAACATGATTGCCCTTACATTCGACATGGAGGGCGTCAGCCAGAACGGTAGCGCAAAGGGTGGAAACGACAGTGAAGAATCAGAAACCGATGAGGATGACGAAGGTGCTCAGGCCATTCAAAGGGTCTTTGCCAAGTGGAACAAGGCAGTGATCGTCGATACCTACCCCGAGGAAGTCGAACAGTCGATGGACGTCAGGTTGAAGGAGGCGATGGACAATGTTAAAAAGACTTACTACCATGTGAGCACTTCTCCATTCTTGAGATGACGAAAGCTGACTTGTGCCCAGGACAAACTCGAAATCAGCTACGAAAACCCCGCAGACATGTACGAAATCGTCCACCACTATATCGAAGGTCTTCAGTGGATCTTAAACTACTACTACAAGGGTGTTTCCAGCTGGGGATGGTTCTACAAGTATCACTACTCTCCCCGAATCACCGGTATGGCTTTTGCTACCTACCACGGCCTTTTCTGACGTTTCGCAGACCTTAAAGGCATCGCCGATATGAAGTTTGAATTCGACTATGGACAGCCATTCCTCCCCTTTCAGCAATTGATGGGTGTCCTTCCCGCCGATTCTCAAGAGCATGTGCCACTCGCCTACCGAGATCTTATGTACGATCCCACATCCCCCATCCTCGACTTTTATCCCAAAGACTTTGAACTGGATATGAACGGTAAGAAGGCTGATTGGGAGGCTGTGGTCAAGATCCCCTTCATCGATCAGAACAGATTGTTGAAGGCTATGGCCGGTAAGTTCTGCGTTCTCTCGTTGGCGCAGCGCTAAACACCACCAGCTCGCGACCATCGTCTTACCCCCGAGGAGCGAAGCCGAAACCAGAGCGGTGTTCTCAGTACCCAATTTGTCTTTGATGGCGAATTGGAGGAAAACTACCCCTCATCTCTGCCCGGAAGTTTCCCCGAGCTTACCCGGTGCCATTGCAAAGCGTCACCCTTCAACCTGCCTACATTGGGTAACGGGGTTGATCTCATTCTTGGTCTTCTTGACGGTGTCCACCTCGGTTCCTCTGCCCTTGCTGGATTCCCCTCTTTGAACACCATCCCTCACCATGGCGCCTTGGGCTTCCATGGCGTCGTTGTCTTCCAAAGTGAAAGCCGAAATCCGTCCATGGTGATCACCATTACCGACAAGGACGAAAGACCCAAGACCACCGAGATTGCTCGTGCCACAATTGGCCAGAGGACCTATCACAACTGGCCTTACCTGCAGGAAGGTCTCGTTGTGGCCGTGTCTGATGACATGTTCAAGTGTGAGGTACAGCAGATGGGTCATGTTGCCAAGATTGTCCAGTCTCCTCATCACGGGGCGGACGCTGTCAAGTGGAAGAGGCAGGCCGACAATGTGGAGAGGCATTATGGCAGGAGGTACGGTGTCATTACTGGACCGGTAGAGGTCTTGTTACATATCAGGCCACTCAAGGGTTTGTCGCGCATCTCTAACATTGCATTTCAGCTGACATTGCATAGGCTTGAAGCATCTCGACAACGGAGCTCTGATCAAGGATTACGAAGGTCCCGAGAAGGAGATTGTCCAAGCTTACCAGATGGCTGTCTCCAACGTGGCCTTTGAGGACGAACGCTTCCTCGTACGCTCAATGGCACCCCGAATGATCATCAACTAACATGCCCATCAGGAACAAGGTCCACCCGACTTGAATGTCGAGTACCCCCCTGGAGAAAAGGTCTTGTTCCTTGGTGATGTTAACAATAACTATGGTTGTGCCGCCCAGGTATCAAAGATCAATGACAAAACTCAGACTCTGGACATTATTCTCGCCGTAAATCTACAACTCTACCGATTCTCTATCACGCTAATATCTTCTAGTACTTTGAGGGCGAAGCGCGCGACAATTTGGCCTTCCGCGACCTCGCAACCCAGCGTCCTTCAAGCAAATGGTGGCCTTCCCCTACCCTCAGTCGCCGTCTGGGCATCTCTGCTCTTGCACTCTCTCGTATCACATCCACGCTTCTGGTGCAACTCGAAGATGGCTCCAAGACTAACATCGGCCTTCCTCTCAAGTTTGAGTCTCGTGGCTTGAAGGTCCTTGGATTTACCAAGAGAAACGACAGAGGATGGGAGTACAGCGAGAAAGCTGCCCAAGTGCTCCAAGAATACAAGGCGGCGTTCCCCGAGGTCTTTGCCAAGATTGAAAACAGGAGCGGTGATCTGGCTAAAAGTCGGGAACTTTGCCCCAGTGCGGAAGACCCGGATGGTGTCATCAAGGCTATGAAAAAGTGGCTCAAGGAGCGCGACTTGGTCGATTTCGAGACTGTTTCTCTGTTTGCCGACCAGCTTGAAAAGGTGAGTTTCGACCTGTCCATGACTTGGCTTGTACTTACAAGTATCCACAGGAAACCTGTGAGGCGATCGAAAAGCTTGCCGATCAGTTGTATGCACACAAGGCTCAGTCTCAGCAGCAGATCAGGAAGCAGCTTCTCAGATCTGTTCCTCGACAAAGTCTGCTCAAGCCGGCCCAGTCCATTTATCGCCTCCAAGGTCAAGTGTTTGAAGTTGGTCATCGAGTCATCATGGTCCAAGATCCTGCTGCTGGCGGTGTGCCCACTGGTATGCGAGGTGTCGTCGTCGGATTGGGCGCCAAGTCCATAGATGTTATCTGGGACACTCCGTTCATGGGCGGCACTACCTTGCAAGGCAGATGTTCCGAGTACCGTGGTTCATCTGTGCCGTTTTCGTCTTGTCTCAACTTGACCAGAAGGCAGTTCATGGTTACGGAGGGCTCGGCTCCCAAGCCTGTGAGTCAGTCGACCTTCAAGCCTCAGTTCGGGCCTCGTCCCGCTGTGCAAGGTCCAAACTACCAGTCCTCGACTGTTGCTCGCCAGCCCCCTTCTACGGGCAATAAGACCTTGTTTGACCCGAGCAGTGCTGTAAAGCCCGCCACCGCACGCTCCGGTGTCGCCATCGTTGGCTCCAACGGGCATCTACACTATGGCAACGCTGCTAAGGGTATCAAACCTGAGGTAGAGGCCCAGCAGCACGTCAGCCATAGAGACCAGATCGCAAACCTGCTCGGCGGCGGACTGAAGCTCAGCCAAGCACCTCGTCCCCAATTCAGCCATCCTGCGTCTTACGCCCCGGCTCAAGGTCCTGGAATTCATCCGCCCGGCAACGCTTTCGCCCATCCCCCGCCTGCGTTTGCCAACCGCGGTGGACCGCCAGCTCGAGGCAGGGGCAGAGGCAGAGGCGGCTTCAACCCCGCTGTCAACCCGGCAAGCACCCATGTGCATACCCCTGCTGCTCCTCTCAACGGAAATGTCGCATCGCAAGCTGACGGTGCTGGTCGCGGCGGAGCCAGAGGGAGAGGCGGTCGAGGAAGGGGTGGATTTGTGAGAGGCAGAGGCAGGGGCGGTGCGAATGGGGCTGCAAATGCGAACGGTGGCCAGTGAACATAAACAGATAAATTAGCAGCATACATATTTTTTTATGGGATGCATGGTTCATAAGGTCTACGTGAACCCATGAAACGCAGAACGGAAAGTCATGACCAGCACGCCACATCCGGAAATACGGCGTTATGACGACGCGCACTCTCTCACTCAGTGCTCCGCTTAGATGGCGATGTGTTATGAGCTCCCTGCAATCGCCCCCTCGCCGCCCCGTACCCCTCGAGAGCAGCCCCAACACCGACACCCCGCCCCGCCTGCCCGTCCGCAAGAATCCGCTCCTGCACACAGGCCCCAACACCCCCCTTGACGGCCTCCAATATGTCCGCCAATGACGATGTCGATGCCTGGGTCGCCCAGCTCATGCAATGCAAGCCCCTCAGCGAGCCGGAGGTTAAGAAGCTGTGTGACAAGGTGAGTAATCGTTAGAATGAGCTGTGGGGCGAGGATTGGGGTTGTCTGCAGGGAGACGCGTGAAGAGCGAGGTGGCCATCGGGGTCTGTCAGAGGCGCCAGCAGGGCATCGAACAACAGAATGCCAAGCAGGCGAATGGATGCGGCTGTATGCGTACGATGCGGGAATGGGGAGCGACTCGTTCTCGACGCCATCCTGCCGAATGGTGGGCGTGTTGTCCTCCTTTCTTGTTGCCGCGTCGAAAGCGTACTGCCTTTGGCGAGATTCAGGCTTTGGCGAGATCCAGGCAGTTGAGAGATACAAAAGCACCGAGCTAACCATCACTGTGCTCCTCTTCCTTATCCCATTTCATCCGATACGCCCACCCATGACACGCCACGTCCTTCGCCCCGCCAGGCCCGAGAAGTCTTGATGGAAGAGTCAAACGTCCAACCAGTCCGGTGCCCGGTCACCGTGTGTGGTGATATCCACGGTCAATTCGTGAGTCTAGAATCGCGTATCGCTCAGACGAGCACTTGCTCATGAATATGCCAGCACGACCTTTCAGAGTTGTTCCGAATTGGCGGCAACTCTCCCGACACAAACTATCTGTTCATGGGAGACTACGTCGACCGAGGATACTACTCTGTCGAGACTGTCACCCTTCTCGTCGCCCTCAAGCTGAGGTACCGAGACCGTGTCACCATCTTGCGAGGAAACCACGAATCGCGTCAAATCACCCAAGTGTACGGTTTCTACGACGAGTGTTTAAGAAAGTATGGCAATGCCAATGTGTGGAAATTCTTTACCGATCTGTTCGACTACTTGCCCTTGACAGCTTTGATCGACAACCAGGTGGGTAGTCTTGACTTATGGTGATGTCGGTACTTATGAACGTCAGATCTTCTGTCTTCACGGTGGCCTGTCACCCTCTATCGACACCCTCGACCACATTCGATCTATCGACCGAATTCAAGAGGTTCCCCACGAGGGTCCTATGTGTGACCTTCTTTGGTCAGACCCAGATGACAGGTGTGGTTGGGGTATTAGTCCTCGAGGAGCCGGTTATACTTTCGGACAAGACATCTCGGAAGCCTTCAGTGCGTAGCAGGCTTCATCCAGGTGGACCATCTCTAACATACACATTCAGATCACAACAACGGCCTGACGCTGGTTGCCCGAGCGCATCAGCTGGTCATGGAAGGATTCGCTTGGTCACAAGAGCGAAATGTCGTCACCATATTCTCTGCGCCCAACTACTGCTATCGATGTGGTAACCAAGCTGCCATCCTTGAAGTGGACGACGCTCTTAAATACACCTTGTAAGTGATAATCTTGTCGCACAGAGTCCTGGCTCTGATCGAGCATTAGCCTTCAATTCGACCCTGCCCCTCGAGCCGGCGAGCCCCTTGTCACCCGTAGGCCCCCAGACTACGTGAGTCTATTGCCGCTTTCTGCAGCAAGTTGCTGACTCGGATGGCCTAGTTCTTGTAATCATATGACGACACTGTCCACAATCAATCTCCGTAACGATATCCTCTTCAGACACAATATACCCATAGGATCGATTCTGTCAATCTGTTCTTCGCTGTTTCCACTTCGTTCCCGCCTTGCTTTCGCATCTATATAGTAGAGATTTGACACAGTAGACGCGCACTGCTCAATCGGTGGCTTTCCAACATTTATTTCCCATTCATTTCTCTTCGCCTCTTTTCTCCGTGTCTGAGTGTATAAAATTGAAAAGTATCAAAAGAAGGTCGCGGAAGTATCAAAGTAGAAGGCGGTACACTCGTACATGGATCCCAACAGTCACATTGAGCATGCAATCTCCCCGATAGTAGACGGAAATACAGACTGCGAACATGAACAAGAGCAGCGCTGCGGTGGAGGCCTCGAGATCCGCGTCGCGTCGACTTGTTCGTTATTCTTGCCGCACTCGTTCATCTCCTGCATCCTCGACAGCATCCGTGGGCATGTCCCGCCCCGCCACCCCAGCATACACCGTCCGCCGCCAGGGATACAACTCGTCCCTCTCAGCCTCAGCCACAGCATCCACTTCGAGAACCGGCACCCCTGCTCCTCGAAATCCCGTCATCTCTCTCGACGAGTGGGAGTCCAAAGCACATCTGAGCGATGAGCAGCTCGGCAGCATAGGGGCCGTCAAGGACCGCTATGGAGAACGCCCACTGCCGGCCAAATTCGGCGGGCAAAACACTCGCCCCTCGACCCCTGCACAGTCGTTGGCTGGCCCACAATCTCCCAATCCTGCCCAGGCGACTACCCTCAAAGACTCCTTGTCTAGCAATACTGCCTCTCACCTCTCTTCCTCGATCCCAGACCCCCTCCATCCATCGAGCATCGCGACCCCTCAGCAATTCTTGGACCATTTCACAGCTTTGACTCTGTCGACAGAGCACGAGCAAGACAGTCTCTATAGAGATCATCTCGCGGAGATAAGCGGCCTCAGAGAGAACTGTGAAATGCTCATAGAGCTACTCAAGGGTGGAGAGGAGGAGGTGCAGGAGATGGAGAAGTGTTTGAGTTATGTGGAGGAAAGGAGCGAGAGTCTGAGAGGGGCTTGCGAAGACCTCCTGGAGGAGCAAACTCATCTCTTGACCCACACGTCTCAATTAGCCCATCGATTGACGTTCTTTACGTTTTTGGAGACGGCTACAAAGATACTCAACAACCCAGGAAACGCCCTCGTATTGAACCCGGACTTTTTGCCTATGGTGAAACGACTGGATGAGTGTATAGGATACCTCAGCGATCATGTGAGTGTAAGGGCCCAAAATGTTATTTGGTGCGCTGACTACTGTCGTAGCGAGATTTTAGAGACTCTGAGATCTACCTGTTACGGTACCAGCAGTGCATGACAAGAAGTATGACTCTTATCAAGCTCTACTTTGTCGGCACTATCAGATCTATTGGCCAAGAGGTCGGCAAGCGACTCGCCGACCAATCGCTTTCCGAAACGGCCATCCAAGCTCTCATATATACAAAATTCACATCATTATCTACTTCTCTACGTCCTCTACTGTCAGAGTTGGAGCAGAGAGTATCGACGAACCCAGATGAACTAGCGCCCTTGTTGAGCGAGTGTAACGCGGCGTATGTTTCGACCAGGCGAAACCTGATGGGCGGCAGAGTGAATGAGGAGATTGGCCGTATGAAACCCAACGGCAGCGACTTGGTCGATCTCGTGAGTGCTGCGAACCTGGACAGATTCCTGAGTTGACTATATTGCAGACCAGAGCAGGGTGCGGTTACCTCAAGACCACTTGCATGGACGAATTCCTTCTATACAAACACTTCTTCCTCTCTGGCGAAGCTCAGCTCTAGTGAGTCAACTGCAGCGTCTGGTGAGATTTGTTGACCACATCACAGTGGCTTTCTGGAATCACTGTGCGACTACCTATACGACCACCTTCGCCCTCGCATCTTGCATGAACCGTCACTCCAAGTCCTTTGTGGTGTCTGCACCGTACTCCAAGCACTGATGGTCCAAGATATTCCAGACGAGGATGAGGATGACGGTTTGGTGTTCCATTCCCCTGCTGCCAGTCCTGGATCGCCCTACTATGGAAACGGAGATGACTACTTTTCCTCCAAACCGCGTCTGTATCACACTGGGTCTTCCCGCAGCATTTCTCACCAATCGTCCCGGCGCCGTGCGTCCAGTCTTACAGGTAATGGCTCGCCGCGTTCGCGTGCCGGGTCTTTTGCTGGGTCTCCTGGGGCGAGTACTGTCCACCTGCCACCTCCACCCAGGAAAAAGACAAGAAAACCACTTCGGCGGCTACACATTGAAGTCTTGCTGAGAATGGTATTACAAGATGCGCAGACGAGATTGGTGTTCCGGGCTCAAACACTGCTGAGCGCAGAAGTAGAATACTATGCTCCCAAGGAATCTGATCTGGACTATCCTGATAGATTAAAGTCTGGTGAGGCGTTTGTGATCATCCTATACTCGTGTCATGCTTACCATGTCAAAAGGTCCTCAAGGCAACAAGCTTGTACCTCGCCAGACGACGGTGTCTCTTAACGCGGACGACGAGGATGATACGGTTGTGTTTGAGCTTCCCTCGCTCGAGGTGCAAAACAGCTGGTACCCTTCTCTAAAATCCACTCTTTGGGTTCTGTCGTGTCTTTACACGTTTGTGGACAGTGCTGTATTTGATGACCTCGCTCAAGAGGCGGTCATCGCATGTCGTAAATCCTTGGCGGCTGCCTCTGACCTCTTGTTGGCCAAACAAGGAAAGGAAAAGAGTATGGACTCGAAACTGTTCTTGATCAGACATCTTCTTATCCTGAAAGAGATGACAGCAGCCCTGGATCTGGGAAAGACCCGGCGACGAGAGTGGAGTGGAGTCGGAGGTAGGTCGAGACTTAGACTCTGCAAATCATATTTTGACGCATTGTAGATTTCCTACGGTCCTTGTTGGACAATGCGTCGTCTCTTTTGGGCTACCAGAGAGGCTCTGTGGCCAGATCCGCTGCATATGCTCCTGACGCTAGAACCAATATCGATCGTTCTCTCAAGTCTGCCTGCGAGGACCTCATCTCTATTCTCAGCGTCAGATCCACTTTTCCTTTGCAAGACTTTATTGGCCAATGTTCCACCTATCTGGCGAGAGCGGCCAGCTCTACTACTTCTACCAAATCCGACCTCTCTGCGCAAGCATTCGCCAAGCCTGAAAAGGTCAAAGAGGTACACGAAGAGTTCAAGAAAATCAGTGTCAAGGCGGTAGAAGATTGGAAGAAGGAGCTGAGGCTGTACTTGCTTGACGAAGAGACTGTTGCTGTTCTGATGCCCCCGGCTCTTGTAAGTTGATTGGAAGACTCGGTCGATTTCGCTGACCCCTTCAGAACTCAATTGTGGATACGTATAGACAATTCCATGACCTGATCAGAGCAGAGTACGATTTTGCGGTTGCTGCTGGGGTCATGACTCCATCGGGAGTGAAGAGCATGCTTGAGAGTACGGCCTAGAAATGAATAGCATCTACGATATGAGTACGAGTACATGTTGTGTACATGGCCCATGGGGCCACAGATCGCGCAGAGTGGGGCCACTGTTGTATTGTTACGTAACGATATATGACGCGCTTGGGTCCGCCGGGATCGTTCTCTACCTTTGTCTTTGACTTGTCATCGTTTTCTGCATTCCCACGAGCAGCCCTTCTCGCGGCCCAAAGACGCATACAATGCCCCCTCTCGTACGGCGCTCGCCCAAGACCGCCCTCCCCACCCTCCTCTCCCTCTCCAAGCTCGTCGGTCTCGTCCCCCGTGCCGCCCAGCGATGGTCTGCAGCCTCCGGCAACGCGCCAATCGAGCCCGAAGATCCTCCCGACAGCCCCGTATTCTGGTGGAAGCTCGGTCTTAGTGCAGTGCTTGTGCTTGCTGGCGGTTGCTTTGCTGGGTGAGCTACCTGCTGCAGGCTGTCACAGGATCGCACTGACGCCCGACAGACTGACTCTTGCCCTGATGGGATCTGACGACCTTAATCTCCGAGTCCTCTCTACTTCTTCAACTGACCCGAAGGAGAGGCAGGCCGCCAACAAGGTGCTGCGGCTACTCTCCCGCGGTCGTCACTGGGTCTTGGTCGTGCTGCTGTTGAGTAACGTCGTAAGTCAGGCTCAAGATCATATGGGGACAGCTCACCAACTATCGCAACTCTCAGATTGTCAACGAATCTCTTCCCATCTTCCTGGATGATGTCCTCGGTGGTGGATTGTATGCGGTCATTGTTTCTACTACTATGATTGTCATCTTTGGCGAGATCATTCCACAAGCAGCAAGTGTATCCTGAATCCTTCATCATGGCACAGCTGAACAACTCTAGGTATGCGTTCGTTATGGGCTTTTCATTGGAGGTACCTGCGCACCTGTGGTTTGGGCTTTCATGATCCTCTTTGCGCCCATCGCTTGGCCCACAGCGAAGCTGCTAGACTATGTTCTTGGCACAGACGAGGGTCACACGTGAGCCTCGATTCAGCATGTCACTGATATGAGCTGATTGGAGATACAAAGCTACAAGAAGGCAGAGCTCAAGAGCTTCTTGCAATTCCATCGTGAGGGCGAAGAACCCCTACGAGATGACGAGGTATGTCGTTCTCTGTTCGCTGGCCACGAGTGCTAATGGGTCATAGATTGCCATTTTGAACGGTGTTCTTTCTCTAAACGACAAGCATGCCAGCGAGATCATGACCCCGATGAAAGACTGCCTGATTCTCCCCGCCAATCGAGTCCTGGATCACGAAGCGATCGACGAAATTCTACTCTCTGGCTTCTCCCGTATTCCCGTGCATGAGCCAGGTCAGAAGGACAACTTCGTTGGGATGCTTCTGGTAAAAAAGGTAGGTATATTCATACATGGCTCTCATATGCTGATGAATTATGTAGCTTGTCTCCTACAACCCCGAAGACGAATGGCCCGTCTCCAAGTTCCAGCTTCTCCCTTTACCCGAAGCCAGTCCCAACATCAACTGTTTCCAAGCCTTGGACTACTTCCAAACCGGCCGCGCCCACTTGCTCTTGATCAGCGACACCCCTGGACAGAAAGGAGGCGCGTTGGGCATTGTCAGTCGTAAGTTGGATATCTTTTCTCGGTGGATCTGGTATGCTGACTTAATGCATTAGTCGAGGATCTGATTGAGGAGTAAGACATTTGTGTATGATTACACATGGAACATGCTGACGTAGCCCCAGGATCATTGGCGAAGAAATCGTCGACGAGACTGACAGATATGAAGACAACCATTCCAAGAAGGCCGTCAAGCGTGCTGGCACTGCTGCCGTCATGCGCAAGTCTTCCCGCTTCCATCATCAACGTCTGCTGACAAAACTCGACAGGTGGCATCATCGAACGCCGTCGAGTCCTCAACGCCTTCAGCCGAGCTCCCTCTCGTGGAGAGCCTCAAACACCCCAAGTCCCCCCTGGCGGCCCTTCCTCCTCGGATGGCATATTGGTACAGATCAACGACGGAGCGCTAGTGGCCGAGCCCGTCGGCTTGTCCGAAAACGGCGCAAATGCTTCCGTGGATCCTTCAAAGAGGCTGGTCATAAGCACTCCCGCAAGTGGTCACATGAGTCCTATCACTGAGGGCTCCAGCCCTGATGCTGTCATTCCGGAGCTCGCGAAAAGCCTTCTGAAGGCGGAAGAGAATGCTCAGGCGAACGGGAAGGGAAATGGGGCGCGCGTTACGGAGAGTTAGTTGACACTTTACACCAGCATCATCATGTATCCATCTGCTCATATTTGATTTATAACGCATAGCTTTGGACGAACGCGGACAGAAAGAGATGTTTCCCGATCATAGAGCCTTCGAGAAAGCGTGTAGAGCGATGGTCAGCAAATATCAACACATGACCGGCACTCTCGGCCCGCAACGGACTAATAGAGGATGGCATTGGAAAGAGCACAAAGTGAGTATCTGTCGTGTCTTCCTGGCTCTACTGATCCCCCTCTAGTGGGTGCCCAACCAAGGCTATCTCTATCGACATCTCACTCGCTATGTTTCCCCGTCCAGTCTGTCGTCTGAGTCTCAGCCACTCGCTACGGATTCTACCAGCGAGCGAGACTTGGAGGAAGAAGACATGGAAGAAGCGGATGACACTGCTCTTCTGGCCGGCGAAGACGACAAGCCTGTTAAGGTCGATATCGAGCAACATATCGTTTTTTCGGCCACTTACAGGGTACCGATGTATTGTTTCCGAGCATGGGACGAGAGTGAGTGGATGCCTTGTTCTGGACCAAATGTGGCGCTAATCCCAAGCTTGCTCAGCGGGGGCTCCTCTCTCCATTGCTTCTCTTCTCAGACTTGATATTCTCCACCCCGACACTCCGGCTGCACCGTTACAGTTTGGCGAATACGGTGCTGCTCTTGACACTCTGATGCTTCCTCCAGACCCTTCCTCTCCAATGGCAGACGAACAGGGTCAACAACCTTTTCCCCTCGTTCAGTCTACAGAGCATCCCACAACTGGGCAGCTGGTCTTCAGTATACATCCTTGCAAAGTTGGTGGCGCTGTTGATGAGGTACTCGCGGCAGAGTGTAAAGATCAATGTGGTGATGGTGGGCCATTGGCGTGGCTTGAAGTGTGGATGATGCTGACAGGAAAGGTCGCCGACTTGAGGTGTACATAAAACAACAGTTCAGCTCCAAAGTAGCATGTCCATAGCATGATGTTTCATAGTGTTCATTAGCATTGCGTGTATCAGGAAAGCTCCCAAAGCAGTCCAAATGTATAAATGTTGCATTGATCTTGCTCATCCATACATACTACAAAGACGCACATCTATAGTCTTGCTTGACTTGGTCGAGGCTACATGCTAGAGGCTGCATGACCGTCAGTCAGATAAATGGTATTGCTAGGTGAAAATACTCACCTGAGACCTCGCATTATAGCGTATCCTAGTGTCACGATGACAAATGTTGCCAATACAGAGGACGCGATACCATTCTTGAGGAAATCGGGAGCGCCAATAAATCTCTGGCCGAGCTTGTTTTCTTGAGTGATACTATGTACAAAGGTCAGATGGGATGGACATGAAGTTCAAAGAGACTTACGCAGTCATGTTGGGGAAACCAGAAACGGGCAGGCCCATACCTGCCGAGCAGATAAGAGCTGTAGCCATGATAAGTAACCTGGGGTGGGGCTCGTCCAGCGAGTCCCCAATTCGCGTGGCGATGGGGACAAGGAGGACAGCAGCAATTGTGTGAGAGATGCTAATACCAGAGTCAGATATGTCAGCTTCCGAGGCGCCATTAGAAAACTCACAAAGTGGCAATGACAAGCGCCAAGATAGAAAAGACAATCAAGATCGAATACAATCCCAAGCCCTCAACCAAATGCTCGAGCACGCTATCTAGCATATCGAGCAATCCGGACGAGAGAGTGGCCTTGCCGAGAGCGATACCGCCCATGGCAAGGAACACAATTGACCAGTGGAAAGAGTGAAAGTCCTCTTTCGACAAGATTCCAGTTCCAAAGAAAGCCAGCAATGGGATGATGGCAATCACTCCCATATCTCCCACCCAATCCTCCATACTCTTTTCGCCACACCAAAGCATGATTGTTAAGCCGCTAACAATCAGCACATAATAGTGGGTCATGGTCAAAGAGTCCGTATTCTTGCGCATCTTGGGAATTTGAAGATCGGCCTCCCAGCGATAGTTGATGTGAAGGAACGCCCATATAGCGAGAACGGAAAGGGAAGAGACTGGAATAGAAATGGCGAACCACTGGATCCACGATAGAGGTGGGTCCATTGAGCCGAGAGAGATGAGATTCTGAGGAGATGAGATTGGCGAGGCTTGACCACCAATGTTGGCTGCGAGAGCGATAGCTATCTGAGCGATTGTCAGCGTGGCCTCAACCAAAATGCTATATACTCACAATCAAGCACTTTGAGAACTGAGATTTGGGGTGCAGTTCATCCGTAATGGGCTTGATCAAAGCATAGCACAAAGTGGGCGCCGCCACGTTACTAATCCACATACTCGCAAATGTCGCCACCGCCATGAGTACCAGCAACACCGTACTGGGCTTGGAGCCAGCGGCATTCAAGATACGTGTGGCAGTCATGACATCTAGTCGGGTCTTGGAGAGGACGGCGGCGATAGTGAACCCGCCGATAAGGAGCATGATGGTGGGGGAGAACATTTGTGAGAAAATGTACTTCGTGGCGTCTGCAGCACTTAGCCGCTCGTCTTCGCCATCGGAAGAGCGCAAGACTCGCAAGAAGACGGTCAAGAAAGGGACAGCCAAGGATGTAACAAATAGGGGAATGGCCTAAACCCATCAGTCCAGCACAAGTGAATTGAGGGAACGACTCACCTCGGTCGCCCACAAGATGATACAAAACACCAACATTGCCATACAGTTGCTTTCCTCTACGCGGTCCAGCGGCTGGACTTGTACGATAGTCACTAAAGATACCGCAGCAACAACGGCCATGACCACCTTCATCGTCAACCAATCGGGAACCCCAATCCCTCCGAAAGGCGTTTTGAACACATTCTTGCTCGAGCCAAACTCTGGTATCTGGTCTGGCGTGACACTCCTGAATATTCCTTCTGAACGGTTCCTGCCAGAGATCATCTGAGACCAAACGGTCTCTCGGTCGATAACGACCTTCTCTCGAAGCTGAGAACGAAGTTGCTCTTTGGCGAGATCGTCATCACCGCCGGCAGCTACACGGCGGTAGAGAAAGAGAATGCGGCCAAGATGCTCATCGAGCTCTTGCTTGGCTTCATCGGTCCAGGGAACACTCTTGAGGACAACGTCTTTAATGTATTCCTTTTTGAGCTGCAAATGATTAGTGCATGTATCCAATAGGTGCCGTACAACTTACCTTGAACTCGGTATTCTTGTCATACTTTTTCAAGATCTTCTCAAAGGCAGTCATGTTCAGATCAACATACTGCTTGAGAGCGTATGCGTCTAGCCAGACTTTGCTGATCCTTTTCTTGAATCCGATCCTCAAGACCGTCCCGTAATCGCTGTTCGCCGTCCAAATGAACACGGGCCTTCTCGCTCCAGGCTCGGCAAGAGCGTTTCTGCCTTCTTCAACATCGCCCTGATCGGTCTGTGCCCACTCGGGAACAGTAGCTGGGTCCATCTGCACGAGACCAAGAGAATGGTGACGAGGGTTTGACCACGCGAAATCGCCCTCATGTGACGAAAAGGACGAGATTGACGTCCTCCTCCCGTGCGTACCCGCCACAGTGGCAAGGTCATCCACCGAAGACTCAAGCTCGGATGATCGCCTGCCAGCCTTCGGCCCGGGCACGCGCGCACTTCCGGGGTCGTCGAAATACGAGCTTCCTACTGAATCCGACATCCTCTGGCTCCTCGTCGCGCTTGGGCTTCTGCGCCCGCCTCGGTAGAAAGGCGGGATGGAAGCTTCGAGGATGTCGTGGTCTCGTGGACTTGGGGCACCATTCTTGCGTTTGCCAAAGCGGAATGTGTTGTTTAATCGCCCGACCAAGGAAGGTCTGGGACGGCCAAAGGAAGATCGGCTTCGCGTAGGCGAGTGGCTCGGCTCGATAAGGTTGTCAGTCTCTCTCACCTCCCCCACTTCACCCTCTACAGTCCTCGGCTCCCCGTCTTCATCTTCCTCATCTTCCTCCTTGATCGTATCCGGCTGGGTCAAATCCCTCTCTTCTATAGCTGCAACCTCTTCTTCGAGCACTTCGAGCGATTGGACGAGTTCACCAAATTTGGATTGATAGAAGCTGGTCACCTTGTTGCGCTCCTTGTCGAGGGCTTGACGAAAGTCATCGGGCGAGGCATACTTTTTATGCCCACGTGCGGTTGGTAGAATAGAAGATGACTCGTCTAGGGTGGCACGATAGCCCGGATCGAGCGGGTTGGATGGAAACAGCTTCTTCAAGGAGTCGTAGCTGATGGATCGTCAGTTGATGTGCATGCTTACTTATCAAAAACTCACTCGACATAATTCTCCCACCACTCGATGTTGCTGTTTAGCTCAAGAAGAGTACTGGTCATTGTGAGCTTCGCAGTCCGGGCGTTTGCTCCTTCTATACGTACCCAAACTTCATCTTATCTCCCGACTTGGGTGCTTTTGTAGCGCGCTTCCAAGACCAGGGCTTTCTCTCGCGATGCAGGTGCTCTTGATGCGTGTCCTCCAGGCGGATGGGGTTGCTTAGAGGCTGTAGCTGCCAGGCTTCGTGTGTGTCGTGCGGGGACGTACTACTATACGGGGGGAGGAGGCGGGCGAGGGGTGCCACCGTGGAGGGTGTGGGGGCTGCGGGCAAGGGGGCAGGCGACGCTGGAAAGCGAGAGAGAGGATGCGAGATGGGGAAATGGGAAAACGGCACAAGCACGTTATCGACGTCAGTCCAACTCTAATCGGCTGCACCCGCTTTCCTAATCACTCACCGCCAACACCGTCGAGCATCGTATTTCTCTCGGCTGCGACTCGTACAGGCTTGGGCGTACTACTGAACGTCCATACACAGAAGAAGCTGACTCGGTGGTCCTCGGCACTCGAGACAGAGCACCCTCGACTGGGCCAGCATCAGTGCTCGGCGGCGACGCGTCGGGACTGGGCGGCGTCTCTCAACTTCAATGTGGCAATGGTAAACCGGGCCCTCACGACATGATGAGTTGAATGCTTGATCAGAATGCTTCGTATAGCAACCTCATATTACGAATGCATACACAATGCTGAACCGTCATCTTTGCTGCTCACTCTCGGCGGCTCTCAAAACTTGTCTGCAAATCTCTTTTGCAGACTCTCCGCCATCTCCACAACGGTATCCTCGAATGCCTTGTATTCAACACCCAGAACCTTTGTGGCATTTGCTCCATTGAACACGTTGGAGTCCTTGACAATCTCGTCGTGAGTTCCAGGCTTGCCCACTGGAATATTCGGCAGGTCAGGGAAGCGTTCGTGCAAGGCATCCACGTAGTCTTGTCCGGCAAATGGACCAGCGCCAACAATGAATCTGTTGCCTCCGGCTTCAGCGACAGTAAGAGCTCGAACGTGGGCAAGGGCAACTGTATAATGTGTCAGCATTGGACACAAGTACTGAATCATTGAGCGCACCGTCTTTCACATCAACCCAATTGGCGCCGGGAGCTGGGAGGTCAGACTCGGACTTTTTGCCGGTGAGCCATTCCCAAAAGTAATCTGCAAAGCGTCAGAGCAATTTTCTTGACGGGGTGGCGCAGAGTCACTCACGGACAGAGGTGTTCAGCTTCTCAGGGTCATCGCATTGGTGGATGACTTCACCAATCACCAGAGGGGGGTTGATGGCGGCAGCATCCCAGGTAGGTTTCTCATCCTCGATGAACTCTGTTCGCACTATCAATACTGTTTCCACTCTTGACCCGCAGATGACTCACTCCAAAGTGCCTTTTCCGCCAGAGTCTTGCTTGCGCGATAAGAATCACCTCCGTCAGAGTTGACGCCGTTCTCTTCAACATGTTTGATGGAATCGACGTTCCAATCTTCCTCAGTGTAGATCACAGGAGCCTTCCTGGATCGCACAGACATGACAGATGCCACTGAGGAGGTGATAACCACGCGCTTGATTCCTGGGCTTGATCCCGCTGTCAGCATATCATCACGGCGGGCCGAGACGAGGCGAGACTGACTTGTTCTTTTGAATACTCTTGAGGATACCGGTAGTCCCTTTGACGGCAGGACCGATGAGCTCTTGCGGGTCTTTGACATTGGCCGTGTAGAAAGGAGAAGCGAGATGGGCTACAGCGTCGACACCCTTGACGGCCTCGTCAAACACTCCGTCCTGTAATGTCGCTCGTCAGCTTCCGGTTCGTCGTCGAGTGATTCCTGCGCCGCCTCACCTTGGCAATGTCCTCGACGATAGCATACTCGAACTGGCCAAGCCCCTCGAAGAGGTTCCTGAGATACTCGCCCTTCTCCTGAGACCGGACGGTCCCGCGGACTTTGTATCCCTGCTTCAGGAACTCTTTGGCGGTGTGGCTGGAGATGTATCCGCTTGCACCTGTGACGAGGATGAGGTCTCCTTTGGTAATGGGGGCCATCTTGCTGTCAGTGGAATGTAACGCAGAAGAACATGTAAACTATGCTGAGGTGATAATGGTCGGCCTTCAAGCTGCATGACGCCATGAGCCGACATTTCGCCGATGTTCGGAATTGACCGACGCCGTTCTGGCTCCAGCACAAAAACCTGCAATAAGGCAAAGCTCTCGAAAAGCGTGAACTTCTGATTCTCTGCATAAACTATATTTATGTTCTGTTTATCTATAATTCTATTAGATGGTACCGAACCTCTTCCTCAAAGACTCAAACATCTGGATGATGGAGTCGTTCAAAGTAGTGTACTTGATACCAAGCACCTTCTCAGCCTTGCTTCCATCAAAGATGTCAAGGTCCTTGCAGATCTCGTCGTGCGTGCCAGGAGTGCCCACGGGGACATTCTTGACATCAGGGAAGTTCTTGTGGATACCATCAACAAAGTCCTGGCCAGCAAAGGCGCCCGCTCCGACAATGAACCTGTTGCCTCCGGCCTCGGGAACAGTAAGAGCTCGAACGTGGGCAAGGGCAACATCCTTCACATCGACCCAGTTACCCGAGGGAGCGGGAAGGTCGTCCTCAGTCTTCTTGCCGGAAGCCCACTCGTAGAAGGAGGCGACAGAGGTGTTGAGGGACTCGGGTTTGTCGCACTGGTGGATGATCTCACCGAGAACGTAAGGGGGGTTGATGGCGACGGCGTCCCAAGAGGGCTTCTTCTCCTCGATGAACTCTGCCCGATTGTCAGTTTTTAGATCTCCTGAAAAGAGTCGTACTCACTCCACAAAGCCTGCTCGGCAAGGGTCTTGGAAGCGAGGTAAGAGTGGAAGCCAGCGGACTGGCGACCGTTCTTCTCGACGTGGGCGGCACTGTCAACGTTCCAGTCTTTCTCGGTGTAGCTAGGGCGACAATCAGCGGAGAACATTTTAATGACAAAAAGCTCAACTCACGTGTAGGGAGACTTGACAGAGTCCACGCACATGATGGAGGCAACAGAAGAGGTGATGACGACTCGCTTGACGTCGGGGCTACTGGCTGTCAGAGATGCTTCTGTCCATTCACAACGGTAAACTCACTTGTATTTCTGGATGCTCTCCAAAACACCGGTGGTACCCTTGACGGCGGGACCGATGAGCTCCTGCGGGTCCTTCACATCAGAGACGTAGAAGGGAGAGGCCAAGTGCGCAACGGCATTGACGCCCTTGACAGCCTCGTCGAAAGCACCATCCTGCTGACATCAGTCTTCGCCCCTTTGACGATCCGTGAAAGATAAGCGCACCTGGTTGATGTCCTTGACGATCACGTAGGTGAACTCGCCCAAACCCTCAAACAGCTTGGTGAGGTATTGACCCTTCTCCTCGGATCGAACGGTACCACGAACGCGGAAGCCCTGCTGGAGGAACTCCTTGGCGGCATGGGAAGCGATGAAACCGGAGGGGCCGGTGACGAGGACGAGATCGCCCTTGGTGATGGTGTGTGCGGAAGACATTACTGGTGGAAGGTGTTCTGTTGGGGTATGTGGTTGAAAGAGATGCAAGAACGAGCGGGAGAGAGAAATTTAACAGTGACGACGACGTTACTCAACCTCTTATGTATGCGACATCCATGGCCAGTGGCCGCCATGCACCACGACCTCGGCCTCCACTCTTGGAGGTCCAGAAAGTTCTTTTATTGACTTTTTTTCCTGATTTGACATCATCGCTTGGGCGAAGCGAATACATATCTTTCATGACGGCCGTGATGACGAGAAAAGTCTCAAACGCCGGGTGGAGGTGGAGGCTGGCTGGCCGTCGGCGTCGACTTTGGTCGCATATACTCGTATGCAGGCCCGTGCATAGATGAGGAACATGCTGGCAAGAGCCAAACACGGCCATCGATTAACGTTGAGAGTACGAACAATACATGCATGGAGGGCACAATTACCACAATGACCCATCCCTGACGAAGCGCTTCTGTCAGACCTTTCCTGGTGCAGGGCGGGGCTCGCCGACGAGCCACGTGCGGACGCTCTGTTGCGACGCGAAGACGAACGCGCAGAGGTACAAACACGCACCAAAAGAGACGATGCTCACGGCGGCCCCCCTCGGCAGCCCCTCCTCGGCGGCCTACAAACAGCACCTCCGGGACACCCCAGGGCCCAGCAGCGACCCCCTCAGGCATCTCCTCCCACACGACCAGCATCAACACGACCCATACGGCACTCACCATCACATCAGAAAGACAATCCGTCCCGTCCTCAGAGACGATGGCGAGTGGACCGAAGAGGCGCTTGCTTGGTACGGAAGAACAGTAGTATGGAGCAGAGGCGCAGAAGTGTATCGACGGTATACCTATGAGCATGAGGGAGAGTCTGTTGGGTACGCCTGCTTCGCTTGGCTCCGGACTGGTGGGGGCAGCAGCAAGACCTCGAAGAAGAGGAAACTTGCCTCGACCACCTCTTCTACGCCTGATACGTTTGGCCCTTTCCATCGGTCTCAACACTCGAGCTGGGGAGGTCCTCGCTCCTCCACCCACAAGAATGCTCCGCTTCGCCTCGAGCGTACCCTTGTGGTATTCCTCCAGACTCGGGCCCATGTCTACTACGCCGACGGGTCAGATATAATAGTGCACCTGCCATTCACTGTAGATGGTGCTTGGGGGCTTCCCAATGGTGGCATTCTAGTCCAGAGAGAGCTAGAGAAACGCGAGCTGCGAAAGTTTGGACGCGAAAAGAAGAAGGTTGGCAGTGTATTGCGAGGAATGGCAGACCAGACTTCCATGTCTATCCTGGATGACTTGATGGACATTGAAGACGAGTCTGCACCCTCCCTTCCCCGGTTATACGTCCTCGAAAATCCCTTCGACGAGCTCAAGGTGGTCATGCAGGGCCAAATCGAGGTTGGAGATGCGCTTCATCTATCCTCTACGCATCCAATCAGCGCGACCTGCAGCGTCTTGATGGTGTCTGAAGACCCCTACCCGTTCGTGGTCGTACACGATCAACACG